CATCTTGATTCAAATTCTGCACCTATAACTCAATGCCGATTCAAATTCTGAACCTATAACTCTATATCCTAACATTGGATTAATGGATTGTTATTGCTTTTTCATGTTATTTAGAAGATGTAAATGATTTATCAACATAAACCTGAGTCTTTTTCATTGGTAGCTTCTTCGAGCTTGGTGTTGTTTCTCATCTTATATTCCTAGTTTGTTTTTCCTACCTGCATTAACACTCTGCAGTATGTTTTCATTAGTTTACATTGTCTACATTGAATGTCATTAGCCAGGTGTTTTTACAGTCCATATTTTTTCTAAATATTCTAAAAAAAACTATTTTAGGATTTGTATAGTGTGTACTAGCTACATGGCCATACCAGTAAAGGTTTTAGAGACTAAGTTTAAAAATGACATCTCTGCTGTTTAAGGTACAAAAGGTTCACATGAAATGTAAGTTTCCAACATTAGATTTTATTGCGAATGTCTCTTCATTTATATTTTATATTCAATTTAAAGAAGAAAAACACCAGAGTGTAGGTTTATACATTTCTCATTCCTAAATGTAAAAGTCCATTAGTAAAGTTAAATGGTTATTGCAATATAAGTCTAGCAAGTGACAGAACAGAAGCTCCCTTTTAGAGGTATTGTGGGTTACAAAAACAATCTCTGGCTTTTTGCTCTTTGGTTAGTCCACTCCACAGATGCTCTTAGTGGCCATTATTATGCTTTCCCTTCTTGAGAGGAACCTGTGTCCTGTGATGTAGTCTGAACAAGATTCAACCATCTGTTGTTCCTTAGGTGACTGCTTAAAAGCCATATAGAGAGCCCTTCAAAATGAAAACATACAGTAGTCTATTTAGCTTTTCAGACTGATCATTAATTACGCTGGATCTCATATACAAACATATTCAGGCTGAAACACCTAAAAAAGACACTGTGTTTTAGGTTCCAATATCAAATTCAAAGATCCTAGAAGAATTTGTTCAGATCCCGGCTTTTTTGTGTAAAACCAAATTCAGCGGTATTGAACGATTGCTTTAGAAGTGGAGGTCGCTGTGGTAAGTTTGTGTATAATGATACACAGAATTCATTTTAGTTTGCTTGTTAACTTTGAATTCTCTCACAACAGAAGATCTGACTTCTAGTTTTGTGAAATTACTGTGTAAATGGGGATGTGTGGTTCGAAGCTGGGAAGTTCTGGAAAGGTCAAAATAAAATTACAGTCTAACCATGGGAACTGCTCGCCATCAGTACTTCCAAAGCATATACTGTATATAGTGTGGAATTCTCTGTGTTTCAGTTCTGAAGAAATGTTTTATGTTTCAAGGCAGTAAATTAAATATTAAGTCATTGCTATTCTGATATTTGCTTGTTCTGTTTTTATTTTATTTTGATTTTAGTGCATGGTTTGTATGAATAACAGTTTATACAACTTGGCACTTTATTTTCATGTGCTCAGGGAACATTGCTACGGTCTTCCTACATACAATAGATGTTTATTCGGTTTTACTGTAGAAGTATTTTGCTGTAACACAGATCATTAAGCTATACCTTAATACATGCTACAAAGCATGTCTCCTTGACATGATAATAATCACTGACTGCCAGTCACGAGGCATTGTAAGATATCTGTAAAACTGCGAGACAGGTTGACAATGCAAATAATACCTAAAAAGGGTAGAATTGTTCAGACGTCTTCAAGAGAAAGAAAACTGAGAAAGAGAGTAACAAAAAATAAGTACACAGAGAAGAGCTGGACAAGTCTAGCAGGCAAGAAGCATCTCATCCTCCTTGAAACTTTGTCTACCATCATGGTAGATCTGGTCTTTTGACATAATAGAGCTCATCACTGTGATGTGGCATTGTGTATGCCGTTAACCAACAAGCAACTAGAATCCAGTTCTGGCTTTTCCCCTAGTTAACCCTAGATGCAGGAGAAATACTACATTAGCCAGCCAGTGGTAATCCTGCAAAAGGTAGCCCCCTGTCCCAGTTAATTGGTTGGAGAGAGTTGAAAAGAGAGTGGAGACAGAGGAGAACACAGTCCGGAAAGGCAGGATATCCGGGGTTGGTCTGTCATCTGTTGCCATAACAATACCCCAGTCTCTTTTTGTGCATTTATTTTTACCAGCAGTGAATGATGCTGTGTTTGAAGAGATGATGAGCCAGTCATCCCTACCCCTGTCCTTTACTGCAAACTCAGACATCAAAATGCATGGTAAAGACTACAGCCTGTGATAAGTAATTAAGGGCAGATCATATTAACATACGAATAGGCTGTTGGTCATGTAGTGTCAGGCAAATGTAGATGTCTCTGTATAAGGTGCTAAGATCAATAATGTAGTACTCACATCCTCATTAAAGCCCACACTTCTTCAAAGATGGGGTTTGATCAAACATTTGCTTTAAAATAGTTTGCGTTTCATTTTTATTTTTTTTCCTCTTTTTTAATGAAACACCAAATTGAACAGCACGCTAAACTGCGTCACTGCGGAGACAGAAAGAAAGAGAAGAAGAAATGCGGTTATAATCTCCGACAGAGGCACAGATGTCACTGCCTAAAATAAAGTATTTTATAATCCTGCCAAAGCCAGTTAAGTAATCACCATGACAACAGAGGCAAAGGGAGTACCACACTGGCGGTTCCAGTGCCCTGCTACTTTGCAAATGCAGAGCCACAGTGATTCTTTTTTATGTCATTGCCTCCTTTTCCCTCCTAGTATCTCATCTTTCGCTTCAGGCAGTAATAGTCAGGATATCAGTGCTGACTACTGATCCCTACTGGTGGTAGAAGTTTTTTGGAGTGGCAGCGTCTTTGTGGTTTACAGACCGTAAGAACAGTTACAAGTAAGAGGAGGCCATGCAGACGATCTATTCAGTTTGGGTGATTAGTAGCTAATTGATCCAAGGATTTTTTCCAACTGTTTCTTGAAAGAGCCAGGGTCTCGGCTTCAACAGTGCGACTGCGTAGGTTGTTCCCAACTTCTCAAGGAGCCTTATCATTTTCTACCTTTGTCTGTGTCCAGGGGTATCAATGATAGGACACTGTAGAATAAAGCCGTGCAGCTCAGTACATTAGAGCCTATCCCCAAGGTCTCTTTCTCTAACTGTCTTTGCCCTCCTGGGCTGCCACGCTTTGCTCCACCAGAGTCTGACACTTATTCAATGGTGGTTAGTTCACTTAAAGGACCTCCGCAGGGCTAATAATGTCAGACGAGCTAGTGCCTGTCATATGATAGCTCCTCGCTCTGTACTGCTCACACAGGAGGGGACACATGGCTGCTGAATGCCTGTGTTCAGGGGATAGGGGGTGCTAACCTGCAGTAGCCCTGATAAGTTTGATGAAGTAACTACAGTTAAGCTGTGAGCCTACTGCAATCATTTACGCTTCTTTGACCCTGCAGCGGTATCCTGAAGCGTGCACGTATGGTTAGCATGGTTTGTGAAAGTGGTCTTAATACAAAACATACAGGAGATTGTATTAAAATTGAATGAAATGGTTTCTTAAGTGTAATATGGGAATACTGCAGAATATTTCGGTTGGGTCAAAGTGGAATGGCTTTGGAGTGACTTCCCTGCTTTTGGCAAAATTAAAGCTGTCTTTTTTAAGAGAATTGTTTCCGCCTCCTTCTCCCTGTTTTTCTTATCTTTAATGTTGTGAATATTGATATGCTTTTAGGTTGGCTTGTTTGTGGTTTTCTAGTTGCAATACATTGTCCACCAAACTCCTCTGGTGCAGTACATCAGTGTTATTGCTGTGGTGCCAAATACAGTTTAAATACAGTGGTATGTCCCAATGCTATGCTGGTAGAGAAATGCTATCAAGCTGGTATGATATCATGCTCAGTATCTGTTCCTGACATCTGAAACACTGTGCAATGAAAAAGTAATACATTTAATAACTGTCTGGCTTTCATTCCCTGTGCTTCTAGTTCCCACACAGTAGAAAGTCCTATTAGTGCACTCTATTGTTCTTCTGCCTGTTTTTATTAGTGTTAACTGTGCACACTTCTACAGTGTTCTGGGAGCAGGACTGTACTACACAAATAATAAAGAAGCTCATGTTCCTTAATGAACCACAAGTGCTTTTAATGCTAAACAGCTTGAAGGTTTTGTAAAGAGCATTGGTTAGAAAAATATCTTTCTTCCACTTCAGAGTAACAGGAGGGTGGTAGCCGAGGAACAGCTGCTTCTGCTGTGACATCTGTGGTGATTGGCAGGCGTGCCAGGGTTTGTTTGCTGGTTAGCAGTGCAGCGCGTCAGAGAGATTTGTAGAGAGTTCTGTTCCAAACACAGTTTAAATGGTGTGATGGTCTGGTGTTGATGGCCTGAGTGTTGGTAATTGATTGCTATTTAAGGAAGTGCAGGGTGACACCAATGACAGGAGCTCTCAAGCTGTTAACAGAACTTTGCTAATTCTATGCGAGTCAGGCTATTGATTTATTGACTATACTCTTCATTAAACCACCTGCACTGATAATGACAGCAGTACTCTAATCTTCATCGTCGGTAAAATGAGTAACCAAGTCACCCTAGGGTATCGGGCACGTTACAGCAACTCCTTCTACCCCTCCGTAGGGTGTTACTAGGCCAGTATTGTGTGAATTTTCCATGGGGTGCAGGTAAAATGTCTTGTTTTGACATGAGTTGTGAAGTGGAAAGGCTACTTTTCCTGCACCTTGATTGTATCCTTGAGGTGATGCTCATTCTTATCTCCACCCCCAAGATACGTTACCTTCACTGGCGCTAATGAGACATGGGTAGTCGTTTCAGAAAATGTTGTTTTTTTCAGCAGTTTTCTCTCTCCGTTTTCTAACGTCATACGTTCTGCACAGGAGGAGACAACTATTCTAAAAAGTACTGTAAAAGTAGTTCAAAAAGCAACCGAATCATGGTAAGGTCATACTGTATGTACTGTATGTCACAATCCCTTTGCAGAGTGTCAGGTGCTGAAGTCTCTGCAGGACGTCATGGCTCTGTGACTCATTGCCTCACTCTCTCTTTAGGTATCCGACCTCAGATCATGAATGGCCCCATGCACCCCCGGCCACTGGTGGCACTGTTGGACGGGAGGGACTGTACGGTAGAGATGCCCATCCTCAAAGACCTGGCCACGGTGGCCTTCTGCGATGCCCAGTCCACACAGGAGATACACGAGAAGGTAACAGGCAACCACCCACACCGGATTCGATACAAACTAGGAGGATGAGAGAGTGTATTTTCTCTTTCTGGTTTGAGTTTTACAGCTACATACTTTAGTGATGCGCAAGTTCAGTCTTGCAGCCATCCTGTGTATGGGAATGTGATGGCTTCTGGGTCAGCTTATTTAAAATGCACCTGACTGCTGTGTGAAAGGTGCAAGGCATGTCAAGGGGCCGCCCAGCTCATTTTACCCTCGTGGTTTAACTTTCCAGATGCTAAGATACCTCACTGTCTCACAGGACAGTAATGTTCCTAATCCTTTCCAGCTCCCATTATAGAGACTCAATTGTATTGTGTGCCTCTGTTGTGAGACCAAGTTTCTTCACTGAAGTTAATAACACAAGAATATAAGAAAGGTTACAGATGAGAAACCCCTCTAACTCTAGTTCGATTGTTAACAGCTAACTCATCTGAAAATCTCATCTGGCCGGTTCTTGAAAGGCACCAGAATATCGATTTCAACAACGTGCCTGAATAGCATATTTCAGACATCCACAAACTTCTGTGTAAAAGGGTGCTTCCTTTTCTGTTTAAAATGTACTTCCCCTTAGTTTCCACCTGGGACATCCGGTTTGTGTTTCACTGCTAATTCTATAGACGTCTGCAGGGGTGATTTTGTCTCTATCTTTGAGGATTTTTACCGCTTATCTCAGGTCCTCCCATAGTCTTCTCTGTTTAAGTTTAAAAATGTTCCCTTCTTTTAACCTGTCAGTGTAGGACATTTCTTTAAACACAGAAGTGTATCTGGTGGTTCTTCTCTGGACTGAAACCAGAGCAGCAGTACAGTTTTTGAAATGCAGTGATGAAAATTGTTCACAATATTCTAAATGAGCTCCTTCTAATGTATTGTATAATTTTAACATAACATCTCCTGATTTATATACTGCACTCTTTTGCGCCCACAACATTTTATAATCGTAGTTCATCTTCTGCTAAAATTCTATTGCCCTTCAGCTGATCTTCTAGTTTACTTATCATTTCTAAACCTCCTTGCATGATATAGAAGCAAGACGTAATAGTCTTTAATTTCTTGGTTTGGTTTGGTTGTCATTTATATGGATGGGTGCTGCATTAGCAGTTGTCTATTCAACAGGTATAACTCCTGTCTCGAGAGACTGTTGAAAACAGTTTTGTTTTGTAACAGAATAACATTGGTTGTATCCTTAAGTGCAGTTGGCAGAATATCATCAGACCCTGGAGATTTGTTAATCTTCAGTACTTCTGATATCTGGAAGACATGTGCCTCTTCTATACTAAAACAGATAACTTCTTCTTTGTTCAGTGTGAGACTTGTTGCCAGTTTCTTTTGTGATAAACACCTGAGTGAAACATGCATTTAACATATCAGCCATTTGCCTTTTCTCAATGAAATGTTTCACATCATTATCTCTGCAACACTTAACTTAATTCTTTATTGTTCTTTTGCTGTTGTGATTCAGAAAAGTCTTACTTTACCCTCCATTACAATATTTATTTCAATCATGCATTTCTGTTATTTATTATTCCAGGTGCTTGCAATTTACAGTAATTATTTTTTTAAACCAAATTATCTTCCATTTTAATCATTTTATAAACTGTTTTCTATTTATATTGTTCGAAATTGATTTTATTGATTATATTGTTCTTAATTGATTTATTAAAACATTTGGGCCAAAGCATTTTAGGTTTTGATTTGCCTGGCTGGACTTGTTTGGCAGTGTGGTGTTAGGTGGGCTGTCAGGATAGACTGTATTTATATTCCTTGACAGTCTGTGACCAGCTCCTCTCTGCTAACTTCTCTGTGATGTTGTTTTGAAAAGAGAGGCTGCACATCTCCATGAATTTGAGATTAGCTGCAAATTACAGGCCAGTGGTATGTAGACCTACTTTAAGGTGGATATTTCATAGGAATTTTTATGTGCAAAAAAATATTGTTTGCATATAAATATTTAATCCCACACCGATTCAGAGAAGTCAGCCTTCTTTTGTATAGGAAATGTTTCTGTACAGCTTCTTGCAATCAGTCCATCTGCCTGCAGTTGACACCATATAAGTGCCACCTGCCCATTTCCTGGACAGCAAACTGTCTCATTCACACACAAACGTTCGTTGCAAACAGTGCAACTTAAATTTTCAGCTCCGTGAAAATTAGATAAATTCGGTTCTTTCTCCAAAGTTTAGTCTCGTCTGTCTTGTAGACACTTCCTCTCAGAACATATTGGTTGTTATACTCCAGTTAAAATAAAGTGGATTCGTTAGGATTTAATCATATTGGGTGCCAAAGTATAGCAGCCCTGTATCACCAGCTTTGCTGTAATATAGAGCCTCATAATGAAAGTGGAATGTAATTACATTGTGCCAGCTGACATCAGCTCTTTATTGCTCTTCATTTGGCAGTACAGCTGTGCTCAATGCCTGACCTAAAGGGCAGGCTGTTGGGGTGGGGGGCAGGGTTTCTACACTGCCAAGTACCGGAACCACTCCACCCTGAGTGGGCATGAGGGGTGAAAAGAAATGTTCGCATAGATGTGTTTGTTCATTGACCTCGCAAAACACAGTGTTTTCTTTGTTTCCTGCTTCAGTTGTGCCATACAATTTGGTGGCCATTTGATGCTGCCTGGTTTCAGCCCATATTGGTTTCCAGTGCACCTTGAGCTCTGCAGTGATTGTGCAGGTGGGACTGCAGGATAGGAGCTGCACACAAGGCGAAATAGAGCTTTCTCAGCAGTGGCTTCTTTCTTGAAATCATGTGATTGTGCCACATCTCAGTGTTCAGGACATATCACTAACACAGTAGTGTACAGCAGTTGTAATGTCCAGACTAGCCCATGTCAAGAAAAGATTGCCATTTTGTACTTTTATTTTGCCTAGGGGCATTTACTTTGCCCTAGTTCAGCTGGTCATGAAAACGGTGTCTTTGAGTTGCAATTTTGGAATGTAGAGTTTGTGTTTACCCCATTTTGGGTTTAAATGTACCCACAATGCTTTATACAAGGCTTGAGGTCAACAGCACAGTGTTTCTTTTCACTAAGTGGTCCTGTTGTTTTTCTTGTGTGTCCTGTGCAGGATTAATGCTTGAAAAAGTAGAGAGTATTGCTAATGCACTGCGCTTGAAAACAGAATTTCATTATGAGCATGGAGTTCAAGGAGGTGAATTGCAGAAGTATCCGCTTTTTTTTGTGGTTATCACTTTGTATTTATCAGTGCAGCTTGAAGTATGAGGCTCTCTTCAACAATTATGTGGTTTTCACATGCACGCAAACATGTCTATATTTCGCTGTTTCTGAGGATCTCTTACAGTTTTTCATTCAGTTTTTATTTTCACTTCTGTACTCCAGGGAAGTGAACGTCGGCACAGGATGACAATAGAACGGAAACAAATGAAAAACAAATATTTTAAAGATGTGAACTGGTGTAGAAAAGGTATTGGACTTTGTGGAGATGTCTGCAAAGAGTTGTTATATTTGTGGGGAGATTTTCTCAAATTTAATTTCCACTGTACCAATTGCTTGCCTATACATGTCAAAAGGCTATTACATGGTGTGCTGATTTCAAGATCATGCCAAGCCTGTTTCTGCTTCTGGCTAGCTTTAAGGCTGCTGACCACAGGAGAATCCTGGACCAGATTAACCAAGAGAAAGACAAAATGAGTATTGTGGTGAACTGTAAAACAGTAGACCCTTGGTTTAATGGGCTTTGCTTTAACAGACTTTGGGTTTTAGCAGACCAAATCTGCTAAAGGTGAATTTTGTCTGTAAAATCAGAACGACCTCACATTCCCTGGAATAACAGGGAAATGCACAAATAATTGAACAAGGTAAAAATAAATCCTACATAGGTTTAAAATGTGGGAATATCAACGATGCCCTGTAGGGGTATGTCTTTTGCATCTGATGATTGGTGTTTCTGTTACGTATGCTTTAGGGACGTTTATACAATATACTTAGAACACATGGAATAAAGGGCTTGTATATTTATGATAAAAAAGGCACAGGAACAATCTTCAATGACTGTGTTTATTAAAAAAGTCAAAAGATCCATAAAGCATATATAGTAAATATATATTTTTCGCATACGAGTATATTTTTGAGCTTGTGATTCAACAGACATTCTGCACTAACGGACACCTCCTCCCCACTATAAGTGAGTTAAATTGACAGTTTCCTGTACTTGAATTCAGATGTTTTTAGCTTGGGGTCTAGTGATTTCTGGGTGTCTTCAGAGATGGTCCAGGCAGTCCCAGGTAGAAAGAGAGAATTCATCACAGGTATAACACTGCTAAATCAGTAGTCTCATTTATTTGGTCTGCATTGAGTGTACTTTCATAGATTTGGTAGCCTGCAGTTCTGTTAATATTTTTTAATGAACTCTAGCATTATTTGCAGTAATTGTAGAAGACAGTATATTGTTACAATAGATTAGGAGTCTTTTTTAACAATATTTTTTTTAACAGGATCCTCAAGGGAGGAAAGTTGAGCACATCAACTTCCAAACGTTATAATTTGTTTTTCCAAAGCAGATGTTCTGATCCAGGACCGTGTTTTGTGCTTGATTCTGGTTCTCTTTATTTAAATTCAGCTAATCCTTGCAACAGTTTATTCTTTTGACTTAATGCTTGGTGAATGCATGAAAAAATAAATAGAACTGTGCTTCTGAAAAAAAATACCTATTAAAATTAAAATACACCTTTTACAAGAGAGAAAAGAACTCATTGAATATTTTACCTTTATCAGTTTTAATTAATTCCACTGAGCCTGTGGCATTGACAAGGTGTGTGAATGAAGACCTCCTTCTAGCCCAGATACACTGAGGGAGAGAATGTCTTCTATTGTCACTAATTTAAAGAAACAATTCTGGAGAATCAAACTAGGACACCAGAGAAACATCATCCAGAAAATCTTCCTTTCAACTCGATGAAAGGGGAAAAAATTAACTTAGTTTGGGTGTAGACATTATTTTCTGTCATTCTTCTGGCTGTCAAGAATAATATTTTTAAACTTTTAAGTCCTGAATCATCATAAAAAAGATTTGTTCAGATTTTCCATTAAGCAGACACTGCATTCAGAAATTATTTCTCTTGCAAAACATTTCATTGCGTTAGTCATTATTCACAGAGGGATGCTTTGTCTACAGTAAATCTTGCCTTTGGCAAATAACACAAGAAATGAAATGAATGTGTAAGAAGAGCTTTAACCTTGAATTAGCATCTACTAGGGATTCCTGGGACAGAGGTCTAATAAAAGCTTTATGGAAATTCACAGTTAATCTGACAGGCAAAGCAAAGCTAATATAGTTAGCTGGAGGAGAATTTAAAGCTGTTGTTTACGGAAAGCGCTTGCTGGTGTTTGCTTAATATCTGGATATCTAGATTCTTATCAATCTCTGTTTTATGAGTTTAGTTGTCTGCATTTAACCTTGTTTGCAGAGAGTCGGAATAGACTATTGTATTGCTTTTAACGTTTTTTTATGCTGTTTTCTCTGTATTAAGTAGTTACAGAATGCTTGTATGTGTGTGTTAAGGATTTACGAGGGTATGCATTTCAAATTTCATGAGCTGCACATACCCTGGAGGTGATCTGCCTCTTTTCCCAGGGCTACTTATGCCTAGCCAGAGGGTGTAAGAAAACCTCATATTTGAAACAGTGCGCAAAAGCACTTTTTTTTTTTCATAGACACAGATCCTGTAAGCTTCCTATAGAGTAATACATGGGTTGATGAGTCAGCTTTTCCATAATGCTGGAAATAAAAGTGTGAGGTGAACCTCATTTTGAGCACAAGGATAATTGGGACCTCTGAATGACCCCCGCCTCCATTCTGGCTTTGCCTCTTCCAGGTGCTGAATGAGGCAGTGGGAGCCATGATGTACCACACCATCACACTCACCCGCGAGGACCTGGAGAAATTCAAGGCTCTAAGAGTCATCATCAGGATAGGCAGCGGCTACGACAACATTGACATTAAAGCTGCTGGCGAGCTGGGTAGGTTCCCTTCATTGGTATGATATAAAAAGTTGTATATTTTATTTATTTTATTTTTAGAAGGGTTGCTGAGCTTCTTTTTTTACAGCCAATTTTCACCCCTTTAATATTCCACTCATTGTGTTCAGACATCTTTAAGCCCAGCCCCTGTTTTGTTTTACTCAGAAATGTTGTCACGCATCATTTTACGATACCCTTCCTCTGAACTGAACTTGAGTTGTGAAAACCAGTGCAGGCTCCTCCTCCATCACTGAGTGTTAGCGTGTTTTTCGCACTGGAATTCTGGGAAGGCTACGCTTCTTTGGATGGAGCCAGGTGTCCAGTCCCTCTGTCGCTCCCTGGTGTAGCAGATGCAGAGAGGTTCTGACAAATGGAGGGGATTTAAACTCCCACGACCAAATGGGCTATGGAAATCGAGACATCATGTCTCACTGCGCGTTCCCAAACTCAGCCCCCTTGTAACCGCCTGTCCACAAGCGTCCCGCTGGGCCTGGGGTTCTATGAGAGGACACTGAGAGGAAGGAGGAGATAAAGAACACTGCTGGAGCTTGTCCCTGAGGGAAAACTCACTGCACAGGAAGTTTGCTTCCTAAACACAAAGCCAGTGACTTTCATCAGCATAATATGGCTAAAAAGAGCATTTAAGAGCAGAAGTACAGTATCTTATAAAGAGAGGGATAGAAAGATTCCCCTCTGGCGTCCGAGACTCGTCTGTCTCTGGGAGAGAGAACCCAGCTGCAATGCCTGTGTACCGGCTGTGATTAATAAACCCTTTTCTGAACATTGGAGAGCCATTGCCCGTGTACATTTACAAGCAAAAGCTGTGTTAGGTACTCGATAGTAACATCAATAACCTACACTGCATGTCAAAATAAAAGGTGGATGGTGTCTGTAGGGATATTGTGTGGAGTCCTACATATGTTGATGGGAGGCTGCTGTGGATCATTTCAGAGAAAAACCACTCAACAAAAATGAAACCCTTTATGCCAAAAAAAAAAAATCACTGAGATCAATCACGCCTCTCAGTTAGCTGAATTCTCCGAGTTGCTGTCAAAAGACTTTGATATAGACCTGGATACTGAATACTGGGATACAGAGCCAGCTGACATTTTAGACATTGATGAGTAATTGAAATGCTGTTTGTGAGTGTGGCGTGAAAGACTATAACAAAGAAAGAAATAGAACTTGTATTACAGGGGTGAGAGTGGGGAAAGTGGATAGTTTTCAGGCCAAAACAACAGAAATGGAGTGTGTACTGTACATATTTATACAGAATATAACAGGCCATTTTAAAAATATATATATCACTGCCATCATTTCTATCCGTTTCCTTCTGACAGAAAACAATACATAACAAGAAATCCTTCGGGAGTCATGGCTGGCCATGAAAACATTTTTCTGTAAACACTTTGCTTTCCTGAGTCTGGCCCATGTGACAGGTGTGGTGCGGGTTTCTGCGGGCTGTCTCGTAGGAATCGCCGTGTGCAACATCCCCTCGGCGGCGGTGGAGGAGACGGCCGACTCGACCCTGTGCCACATCCTGAACCTGTACCGGAGGAACACGTGGCTGTACCAGGCCCTGCGCGAGGGCACGCGCGTGCAGAGCGTGGAGCAGATCCGGGAGGTGGCCTCCGGGGCCGCCCGCATCCGGGGAGAGACGCTGGGGCTCATCGGCTTTGGTAAGGGAGACCGTACCCCCTGTCCCTTTCCCTCGCTCGCCTGCCCCAGTACACATCCCGGCGTCAGTCTTTGCTAGCTGTGCAGTTAGGTTTTCAACCATTTGTCAATGGTCTTCATAATATTGAACTGTATGAAGTATATTAGATATCTTGCATAAGCATGTGTGATGTTGTCTTATATTTACTAGATAATCTATAAATGATCAATTTACTATAAAATGACATTCTGTGGAATGTTAACAATGCATCCATAGGTATGTCATACCCCCCCACCCCCCACCCTAAACTTTACTAGGCCTCATCATTATTCTCTATGCGTTTTAAAATTCGAGAGAACCTGGATTTAGAGTTAAATGGTGGTATATGGAAGATCTATTAAATCTTAATCTGTACAAGTTATACTAGACATCATTCTTTATTTCTTTCCTAATAAAAGCCTTGGTTTGCCTGTTCCTGCCAGACTTCACTTGTCACAGTGGCATTTTGAAATATGACAACAGTAATGCAGACGCTCTTGACGCTTTTTTGAAATCTCACAGGCTCATACTTGCGGACGGAAACAAAACATCAAATTACTATTTTGTTAACTCAGGTGAACCACGGAGCCTAGCCAGGCTTTACAGTATTCTAGTTGTGTTTTTTTTTCATTTTTTTCTTCTTGAGGCTGGTTCTGCATGAGCAGTTGAGCCCAGGTCAGAGTGAAGAAGCAGAAAAGGGTTTGGAAGAAGCTCAAGCTGAGCGATGTACGGTCGGGACAATGGTGCCGTGGCTGGTGTGTGAGTGTGCGGAGGGTGACATTGAGCCGCAGTGACATTGAAGATAATGACCCTGCTGATTACATCGCAGCTGTTGTCCGCTTTGCCAATGCAGAATTAAAGCTGAGCGAGGTTCTCCATCCAGGAGCGTGACAGTTGCCTTAGTCATGCCCAATTAAAACCACTCTTAACACCAGCATGACAGGAAAGTGAGCAAAATGAAACTAAACACGGGCGGTCATTCAGACGTCGCGCTGTGGTCTTGCACTGTCTGAGTCAGCTTAAAGGAAGAGAAGAACAAAAAACAATTTTGGGCGAGGTGGGAAAAATTGTAAGTAATAGCAGAACAGAAAAGCACAAAAAACGAGTCTCTTAGTCACATTGCCATTTGTTCAGTAGGAAAATGTTCATGCATTAACAGAGATGGTTATGGCTTCCAAAGCGACTGCTGGACACAGGGGTGCATTAGATCGTTATATACTTATAACAGTGCAGGGCCCAGTGTGCTGAGCGAGTTTCAGAAGTGACTTCACCTCTCTCTGAAATCTAGACAGTGTAAAAACTCTTCAGCTGTAGAGGACCTTTAGGAGACGTCCCCTGTCTAAGGAGTGCATGGCCAGAGCCCGTAACGACCGGCATTAAATCCTGGCAGCAGGGGCAGGGAGAGCTGCTCTTGTGACACTCCCAGCCTCTCAGAACAGGTGAGGTGTCTGGTGTACCAGAGCGGGCCTTGCGGAGGGCAGGACACGGACATGCTGTGCTCCTGTAGAACTGGAGACCCTACCAGTGCTGTTTCTGATAAATGCTTGCAGCCTTGACAGGGTACCTTGAGAGGCAGAAGTAGGATTTGTTTGTAGTAGCATGCCAGGCCATGGGAAAGTATTAAACAGAGTGGTAGCTGTTTGTTGTGGCTGTACAGAGTACAGAACACATATATGCGGCATCTGTGACTTGGCATTGCTTTGGATAGGCGAATGCCGGGAGATACTTTTCGGAAATTTCAGTAACTGTATGCTCTGGATTGTCATTTTTCCTTTGTAATATCTGCCCAGTTTAAGGGGAGGCCTTAACAGCTCTCACTGCAGGTGGGTAGTGTGGTCTCAGATTCAACCCATGCATAACCTAACGTGATCTCACAGAGCATCTATACTTCTAAAAGGAATAAAAACATGTAAAAAGAATGACTTACTTTTTCACACCGTGGTATGACAAGCTGAGAAAACATACTGCACACAGCTGATCTCTTTGAACTAGAGGTTGAAAGAATTACCTTCAGCTGGAGCTTTACTGTGGACTTATAATATCTTAAGGAAGGGGCTTACTGTCACTTCCTGGGGGTGTTAACACATTGACAGCAGAGGCTTTTATGACCACCTTCACTGAACCAGTAGCTGGAAACATTAATACAGAGAGATGCCGTACGAATGAATGTTTGAAACTCTGAGAGGAAAGACTTGAAGAGGAATATAATAGCATCATACAGAGAGAAAAAATGAGTGGAACTTCTACTGCACAGAAAGGGGAAAGAAAGAATATAACAGATGCTCAAGCCAAAAGGGGTTCTGAGTTAAGAGACTTTGTCGGTCAATTCTGTAGCTTTTCCCCTAGTGGAAACCTGAGTGCAGATTTGATGCAGGTAAGTGATTTCGACAGTTCATCCCTCTAGGCGTTATTTCATTTGAGAGCAGAAACTCATGAGCTTAGAGATTGAAGGGTTGAATGGCGGGACGTTTAATGTTCGGGTCTGAAAGAAGGTTTAAGAAGATGACAGTCACACTAGTAAAGTAATGGTTTTATTACACTGAGTATTTATGTCCTCTAAAGGCAGTTTTTTTAGGATGCAACAGGACTTGGATAGTCGGTTCTCTAGCTTTAGCGTTTACTGTGACCGCAGGTCCACACGCAGAACGCACGAGCACATTTTCGGGCCTGGTGTAGCTGCGGCTGTGGGCATGATGGGTGTCTTGCTGTCTGTCTGCGCAGGGCGCACGGGGCAGGCGGTGGCCGTGCGGGCGAAGGTGTTCGGCTTCAACGTGATTTTCTACGACCCGTACCTGCAGGATGGGCTGGAGCGCTCTCTGGGAGTGCAGCGGGTGTACACCCTCCAAGACCTGCTGTACCAGAGCGACTGCGTCTCGCTGCACTGCAACCTCAACGAGCACAACCACCACCTGATCAACGACTTCACTATCAAACAGGTCGGGCGAGGGGCCCCTTGCACAGCGCCGAGCCAGGTCCCCTGTTAAATTGTTCATCCACAGCATCCATGCAGCAGTAAATAAGTGGGCATGAGCATGTATAGTTACAGTGTTTACAACACACTACACAACTGCAGCTTTTTCTGTGAGAGTATGAGAGCAAGCATATGTATTTTCACCCACCGAATTTTCAACTTAGAACCAACTGTTCGTGTCCGCAACTGCAGGGGAAAAAAAACACTCAGCTTCCTTTAAATAAGCGGTTCTCAGCTCCAGTCCTGAGGGACTGCTACGTCTGCTGGTTTTCATTCCAGCTGGGACCTTGATCGCTAGTGCTAATTGATGCATGTAATTGATCAGCTTGCTTGTTTTAATTTTTTTTTCTGCACTGAGTCTTCATTTCCAGTAACTGACCTTTATGCAGTCTTTGCTCAACTCGCTAATTAAGCATTTGCTTCTTTATTTCTGATGAAACAGCCCTTAACAGGTGAGAAATCTGGGATGAACAGACCGAGGTGTAAATGACACTGCATCAGTCACGCCCACAGTGACTCAGTCCTTCTGCCCAAATCCAGTTGGCTGTATTTCAGCTAACCGGAATGAATCCTATAACTCATTAATTACCACTGGGCTTGTACCAATTACAGTTCTCTTTTGGCTTTTTAAAAACAGAAAGAACACTTTTAAAACACACCTCTGACAGAACAAAATTAAATTAATTAGCCTGTGAAACCAGAAGACACAGTGGTCCACCAAGACCAGGGCTGAGAACCATTTCTTCATTCTTTCTTCCCATCTGGACTGCGGATACAACAGAGTACCACCTATCCCTGTATCAAGATCATTTTCTTTGAGTAATAAGTAATGAGTAGTAACAAATATGAAATGGGGACGGCTCACCTAACAGCTTATCTGCGTTCCTAGTGGTAATGAAAGCAATGGTTTCATGGTGCAAACTTATCGGAGTTTACACTTTTATAATAAAACAGATGTGGTGGATTAATCAATAATTATTGATTCGCATCTGATCCAGCAATCTCCAGAAATATCAGTAGTACAACTACAGATGCATCAATGGATATGGATACCTTAGAATACTAATCAGATATCCGTGTATTTGCTGGGCTTGAGCTTTAGTTTCCCACTGTTCTACGAAAGATAGTAAAACTGATTTTATTCTGGGCCAAATTGACTTAACTAAAAAAACTTTTAAAAAATGTATAGAATACCATTCTCTCATTTGATATTTTATTAACCATCAAAAACAGTATTGAAACAACAATATTTGAGTAAGACATTATCTGGCAATGACCTTTCTAAACTATCTGGAAAACAGTAGCTCACCTTTGATAGTTTTTCAGGGGGATCTGTTGTGATTCTGTCTTGGCCAACACTGCCCCCTGTGGGTTGTGTTGCACCATGCTTTATTATCAGTAGGTTTTATTTTAAGGTATTGAATTTAAGTGCCATATTTATTGTTAAAATATGAGGTGGAATCATAATGATGAACAATTTCCAGCCAATCAGAAAAAATGTTCAGAAACTGCCTACAGGGATGGGCTTGGTGCAGAGATTTTACAGGTTACAATGAAACATTGCTCAGCAGGATAAATGTTTTTCATGCCCTAGTTACTCACTTCTGTCGAGTTTAAGGGATTACCCCCGAGTGATTTCTTTTTTTTTCTTATATATTATATTTAGCATACATTGTGTTTTTTTCATAATGTTTTGTTGCATTCTGTTAATCCTCAGTTTGTTAAAGATGTTGACTCTGCTGAGTGTAGCTGTGACACACAGAAGACTCCCTTGTGTGTATAAAGTGATGGAAAGAGAGTAGTCCTGGCATTATATATTGCTGAACCTGACAAACTGGACTGGGTAGCATGAACAATGCAGCTCTAACCTAGCCTGGGAGGAAGAGAACTCTAGCTACCTTGTACCGGTCCAGATTTCAGCTACACCCTCAGAATAACCTTAAGTTCTCTTTCTTTGTTTCTTTGTTTACTGATTTGATTACCTTTCTTAGTTGGCCTTTTACATGTAGGCACACTTCGAACATACATGTGAATAATCAAACAAATGTGAACTTTATCAACTGTACGGTGTGAACTGGGGCTTTTTCAGAGACTGAAATGTAACTAGTACAGAGCATGAAAGTTAGCTCTTAATGACGCAGCAGGGACCAGTCCAGAGCCCCACAGGGCCTCTCACTGCTCTGTCCATTCTGCAGATGCGCCAGGGAGCGTTCCTTGTGAACTCGGCGCGAGGAGGACTGGTAGACGAGAAGGCCCTGGCTCAGGCGTTGAAGGAGGGCAGGATACGGGGAGCGGCGCTGGATGTCCATGAGTCCGAACCCTTCAGGTGAGGGAGACTGGAGACACGGGGCCAGATTCAAAGGACACTCGCCCCGGCACTAAATTCACTAAACTGCACATTCATAAACACAAAAAAACAGGGTCTTTATTGTCACTGGAAACAGATGGCTTCTTCCACAGCAGATTAATTGCAATGTGCAGTTTTCTTTCAGTTTGTACAAAGTGGAAGACCGGGATTCTTTTTTTTAATTTAAAAATATTTTGGGTGACTGAAAGAGCTCTAAAGGGTCTGAAACATTTTATATGGGATGCTTTAAACCTTGATGTCCTTGTCTTGTTAAGAGAAAAAAATAGTTTAGTAGCAAATAAATGCTGAATATTACTCAGAGAGCTAACCCCCTCACTGAGCTGGCCCTACACCTTTACTGACACATGACAACTGTCTAATTAGCTGTAGCTCAGCAACAGAGAGCAGTGATAAAATGCTGAAAAAGAGTTTATTAACAGCACACCCATAGTTCGTTAAACATGTTTTCTTGTTGTCAGTGCAGTTAGTTGTAAAACCTAATTGTCACCACCAAATCGTAGATCCCATGCATTCCAATTCTAAAGTTCTAATTAGAATTAGAATTAGAATCAGTTCTGGAATTAAATAATACAATAGTAGAAGTTGAAGAGAAAAATATTCGTTCCAATCCATTTGTGATTACATAAGGCTTTATGAAGTGAGATTTCCGGAATGTACTTGTGTGTGTGATGAGTGTGAATACAGGTCCTGCACAAAAGGCACTTTTAGGTTGTCACAGGAAGGCAGAGGGTAATACACACTGCTGATGACATAGTTGGGGCCCTGATTGAAGAGATGTGTAATAATCCTTATATTGAGGTTTATGTGGGACAAGGTGTCTTTTTCCCTTTTCCAGTTTAAAATTATTTTCCCTTTTCTGGTTTAATAGAGCGTACAGTCATTGAAATGCATGGGAACCATACGGTGTTAACTCTGAGAGAGGAGTAACACTGTCAGTAAACGATTAAGGGCTGTAATCCAGTTTCTGGGAATATCAATGAATCCATTCTTCAGAGACAGACAGACTTCGCCACACAAATAGGAGCCATTAGCTTAATGCCAATAACAAGGACTGCTGACACCTCAAGCACCATTACTTTATCCTGTAATATTTCTTATCCCAGACCAATGCCCCAGTTGAGATTTAAAGCCATACATTTCAAACACACTACCAGGAGCTTGAGCTTCTATAAGTGGATGTGAGATTAATAGGAAGGAAGCTGGAGTGTCCCTTGGACTCTTCTGTTGTTAAGCACCTTACTAAAGCTCATGCAGGACTCTCTCGTTTAAGACCTCTTGCTTTTTCAGGGCATTAGCTTCAGACATTCCACTGAGTTGAAACACAATAAACAGCTGACTGCAGAAATCTTTGCTGAGTGACTTGTTGAAAAAAAATCTTTCTTTTGTGTCCGCCTCAGTGTTTATCTGAGAACATTGAAACAGACCAGAAAAATGAGCAACCAAAGGCACAATTACAGTGGTCTTCTTAAGAGCCAGGCAGGGATGTAAGATGTGGCTCCTGATGTGATGTTGTCTGACTTTGATTTTCATCTTCATTAAGTTTTGCCCAGGGCCCTCTGAAAGACGCACCCAATCTAATCTGTACACCACATACTGCCTGGTACAGTGAGCAGGCATCACTGGAGATGAGGGAGGCAGCTGCTACAGAGATCCGCAGAGCTATCACAGGTTGAACTTCCCTTTCTCTCCTTGCGCTCTTAAAAAAAAGAAATATCCTGTACCTTGGGTTTGTTTTAATAGTAACCTGCATTGCTAAGAAGCACCTGGCATTACTACTTGGCCACCCTATTTCAACAGATATCACATTTGAATTGTGCCCAAACAGCTATTTTAAAACCAGGCTGATACCTTTTGTCATTATTATCTGTTATTATCAGTTTTTAAAAGACTTGGGGGCACCTCAGTTTGGTCTGGAAGGGAGGACCTTTTTAAATGGAATGTAACTGAAAAATAATTTTTAACTTAAATATTCTGTGGGATAGACCAAGTAAAATAATAGTATTTTTTTACTGACAACTCATTGTTTATAGCGGATTGTGCATGGTTGAAATAGTGTTGTGTTTTCCCAGGCCGTATCCCAGACAGTCTGAGAAACTGTGTCAACAAAGAATTTTTCGTCACCACAGCACCCTGGTCGGTAATGGACCAGCAAGTAGTTCATCCTGAGCTCAATGGTGCTGCGTACAGGTAGGATACCGTGACACAGTGCTTACAAACATTATTATTCCTAGGCTGGGCTGATTTAGAGGGTTTCTTTTCCTTTTCTTTAAATGTTTGTCCACGTTTGATTCCAAATCTCCCGTAAACCAAAATATTGTCTGACGCACTTGAAGAAATCTAAATACACCACGTACAGTAAAATCGAGAAAGTTAGAGGGCCTTTCAAAAGTTAAACTCATTTCTTTTTGATAAGTTAGGAGTGTAAATGGACACATCCAGATTAAGAAATGAAAAGTAAGGTTATAGACATACTATCTTTTTCCTGATAGAGTTTTTGGTAAATATTGTGTTCTTAAGAATTGCTTGGTTGTTTGAGTTGTTACTGCAAATTATAGGCAATTTAAATAGTTTTAGGCCTTCTACTTCAGTGTCTAAATGAACTGCTTTTTTCACACAGCAGAGTGAACCATATCCTACAAGGATTAGCAACTGCTGGTTACCAAGAAAAATTATTAACCTAAATCGTAAGAAGGTAATTACTCAGAAACAAGCCCATCTGAGCTGAGCTTTAAAAGGTCTTGTCAGCCCAGTCCCATTGTGTTTTGGTCAATTGATAAGGGGAGTGCAAAAAGAGCAGATTATGTCCTTTGTGTTTCTCACAGTTTTTCATTCTCTTCATGGTGTATTTGAAACCGTTTAAAACATTATATATAGGAAAAGAGCTAAAGTCACTGAAGACTAAGCAATATCTATATCCCAATGGCAAAGCCAACACATTTCCTCTTAACGATGTGCTGTGATTAAGAAGATATATTACCCTGCACCACAGTTCTTATTTCTTTATTGATGTCAGGGTTGCAATTATTAAGTTTCCATGTGTTTTATGCTAGTCTGGGATGTGCCCTGTTGAAGGTGGCTATGACAAAAAGGGTTTCCTGATCATGGGATTTAGAAGTACTTGAAGAAATCTTTTTGCTGGAGAACTACACTACAGTAGAGCACATTGCAGGTCACTATCACTGAATTAGAACTGCAAAATTGCAGACTTTGCAGTTACAGCACAGTACCTTGTAGATCACTATCGCTACTGAACTACAGATACAATTAAATATTTTAATTATTGCTGTCAATAGCAATTACAATAAAATGCCAGTGCATTATAGTACACTAAACTGAGCTGAATTTGGGGAAAAGGGAAGAAATGAAAAAATAATTGAATGTCAAGGGAAATAATGTTTATTACATACTTTTTAACTCCTCATACACAAGATTAAACAGTTTCTATATATCTTTAAAGAGCAAAATGTCATGTTATTTTTAATTTCCTGTTAATAGCTCATGATACGGGCTGTTTATCTTGTTACATTCACAGTATTTCCAGCACAGTTCTTTTCTTCTGCAGGGATTTATGCGTTCTAACCATCTTTTATTTTTTGTCTTTGACTTTATTCAGCTCCACATTAATCATTCACAGTCCACTACACTGCTATTTATGTGAGCCAATGATGACACAATGTATAGTTTTGATCTGACTCCAATCCAATTCAAACCAATGGAGTGAATTTTATATTTGAGAATTACACTGCTTCAGATCTGTGGTACAAAACTATCAAGATGGCATTTAATACAAACAAATACCCAGTAAAAGTGTCTTGAGTGAAATGTGAAATAGGTATTGCTAGGTAAATGTGTAAAATAATGAAAAATTGTTGTTAACAAGTGTGGTAATTTACTGTTGATAAACAGTATAAATTGGAAATGTGGAATACTAATTATAAACCTATGTCACTGAGTAACAGTTATAATACAGCACATTATAGATCAGTGCCATTACTGAATTACAGTTACAACACATTTTAGACTAGTGCCAATATTGAATTCCATCTGCAGTACAGCACATTGTAGACCAGTGTCATTACTGAGTCACGGCTTCAATATAATACATTATATTATATTGAAACCATGGACAAGGACCACGAAAGAATTTCAGCTATATAGCATATTACAAACCAATGTCACTACTGAATTACTGTAACAATATAAATTTATTATAGATCAGTGCCACTACTGAATTGTAGTTACAATATAATTATAATTATAATAATGAATAATTGCACATTATTCTAATTAATATAACACATTATAGCCCAGCATCACTACTGAAATTCAGCCACAATAGAGCACATTATAGACCAGTGTCAGTACCTAATGACAAATACAGGTAGTGGACAAAATAATGGAAACACCAAACAATATGTGAATATGTATTAACTAATAAGGAGCTGGACTGTCCTTTGTCTTTAGAACAGTTTCAGTTCTTCTAGGAAACTTTTACAAGTCATACAAGTTTTTAACTATTTCTAGTGTGGTTTTGGACTATTATTCAAGAAAGAAAGCCTCCAGTTCTTTGAGAGCTGAAGAAGTTGGAAATCTAGTCTGCATTCTACTTCTCATGAAGGTTCCATGATGTTCAGATCTGGTGATTGGGGAGGCTATGGGTGGTGTTTGACTTCATACTAGTATTCATGAAACCTCTCTTGAATCTATTTAGCAGTGCGTATGGGGGCATTATCATCTTGGAATATATTAAGGCACCTGGTTGCCTAAAATGGCAGTAATACTACCACGCAGAGTAATTAGACTCAGTGATTCCCTAAAGATGTCTGGCTATACCATAACAACTCTACCACAATGTTTTAACAGTTGGGAACAGGCAGTGTGGGTTAAACTAAGGTTTCCTCTGGCTTTCTCCAAATATAATCCCATCCATCCTTCAATTCTGTGGTAATGTTTGAAGCTGTTGTGATATTTAGCAACTATCCTCTTAAGTGTCCATTTATCCCTGTCAGTGAGCTTTGACTTGATACCACTGTACCTCTTCCCTGTTTTCCTTAGTTTGGTGTATACCGGCATAAGTTTTGACACAGATCCCCTTTACATATTGAATAATTTTGCCATTTCTATTACTGAAACATCAACTGTTTTACCTCTTTGAAAATCAGTTAGATCTCTCAATTTGCTCCAGGAACTAACATATTAAAGTATTGTTTTAAAGACATCTTTTATAGAAGAAACATATTGGTGATTAGTGTTGATTATGAAACATAGAATCTTTTAACTGCAAATTAGTTACTTAAAAATGCAAGTCCTTTTTTGTGAAGTGTTCCCATTATTTTGTTCATGCTCTGTGTATTACAGAATATTATAGACGGACCACTGTCACTGTTGATTAATTGCAATGCCTGAAATTCCAGGGGCTGTAGTGCTCAGGTCATCATTTTCATTGAATACACGTTGCATTTCATGTTTCAGAATTGACAGCTCGGTGAACACCTGCTGATCTCGTCAGATCTTCTTAACTAAGCAAGGCTGGGCCTGGTCAGTACTGGAATGGGAGACCTCTAAGATAAACCAGGTTTCTATTTTGTGTAGTGTTGATGACCAGTAGGTGTCACTCTTCCCTCTGAACCATAATTTTCAAACAAGTACCCCAAGGACAGCATACAGGACACTGTGTTGTAGGAGGAGACTATGAAGTGACCTGAGGTCTTGACTACTTGATTATTAAAGATCCCTGTTCAAAAGAGCAGTTAATTCTTATGTTCTGGCTAAATTCCACTTTGGTCTTGAAAAGTTTGCTTCCAGAAAGTTCCCATCTTTTTGTTTTAATGGTGAACTCAGATTTTATTTAATACAGTCGGCCTACTAGCTTCCAAGATACACGGTGGCGGTCCCCTGAGATCGGCCCTATGACAACGTGCAATGAAATAAAATAGAAAAAACTGCACAGGGACATAACCTGCTGTACCCCTTTAAAGCACTGAAATATCCCCACTCCCACCACTCAGAAAAACACAATGAAAAATAACCTGTCTAGGGGTGTTAACAGTGCTCAAAGCAGCATGTTTTAGTTGTAAAATTTGGAATCTAAAAATTGCCAATAAACAGGTCGTTTTTCTCACATGAGAAATTTCCTTCAAGTGAATAATACATTTTCTCCTGTACTGGGCCAAATTACCTTTATTTTCAGAATGTCAGTGTTGTTAGTGTTTTTTGCAGTCATGCTAAATTAAATTAACTGAACTGTAATAAGTTAGGTTTTTACACCAATTGCTTGCTGCTTATGTAGACGATTGAGAGACCCCAGACAGGCTGTTTAGACAGCTTTTAAAGAACCTGAAGTGAAGCACCATGCCTAAGTGTTTGCTGTGCAATCCTTTTGATCATCTATTTTTTCCTTTTGCTTTTGTAAGCAATCTTAAGGTGTGCTTGTTCTCTGCTTTATATATTTGACCTTTAATAAATTAGGGCTTGGGATAATTTTAAGTTTACAGTTACTTTGTTACTCTAAATGTCCTAAAATAAAAACATTAACAATAATATTTTGTTTTTTACCTTTATCTTCCTTGTAGAATTAGCTCACTGCTGCTGCGATTTTGCAAGAAGTCAAAGCAATACCCATCTTGTAGCACATGTATTTTGGGCACAGTCATTCTGGGTGTTGGATACTATATTAAATAGAAGCATAATTCCCTGAGTCCAAACTACTGCAGTGCACTAGAAAATGAATGCAGTGCTTTCTGAATGAGAAAATACAAGGGGAAATGCTTTGATATACAAGGGAAACCAATAGATTTACAATGTCATCTGCTGACTATAGGACCATACATTAATTTTAACTGCAGGAAATTACATTTTAAAGGGGTAGACAAAGGAAAATTGAGCAAACTAATTATATAAGGGAATGTCAGTATTAAACTATGATTTGGAAGAAACAGTGTGCTCAGGAGATTGTCAGAGATAAAATGAATAATATAAAAAGAAAGCTTTTGAGAGCGAAAAACTCAGGTCCGGCTCTGACTGTCTGCACATTGCATTAACCCTGCCTGTTCTGCCCTCCTGCCCTTGTCCTGCAGGTACCCGCCAGGTGTGGTGGGAGTGCCTCCAGGAGGGATCCCTGGGGCAATAGAGGGCATGGTGCCTGGCGGCGTGCCCATCCCTCACAGCCTGCCCGCTGTCACACACCCCTCACAAGCACCCTCACCCAACCAGCCTTCAAAGCACGGCGACAACAGAGAGCATCTAACTGAGCAATAGCACCAGAGCAACAGCGTTCACTCCAACACACACCCGGGACCAAGAGACAGTGAACACACCTGCCGCCACACAGGACTGGGAACGGCGACATGTTCCACGGATTTGTACTCGATTTTTTTTTTTTTGTTGTTGTTGTTCTACGTCAAACTTTTTATTCTCATTTGGAAATAAACGCCAGTTTTCTTGGATGTTCCAGTGTTGATACTGTGCCGGCGGGCGGAACTGCTGTGCAAACTGCAGGGAGGCTCGCACCCTCATCCCCATCTTCCTGTTGTAGGAGGACTTGCAACCTGGCTCACTGGCCAGAGAGCGGAGAGGAGCAGCGATGTCCTGCGTGCCTCACCCGCCACCCAGCTCTGCCCAGCTCACCCCGCAGGACCCCGCGCCACCGTCACGTCACTTAACCTTGTTTCTCCTTGCTTTTATCTTTGAACCCCCGGACATGGAATATGTCTCTTTTGTTCCTCAATGTGAAAGAAAAAATAAAATGATTATTAAAAAGATATATATATTTATCAGCTCAACAGAGGAGGAAAACAAAAGTCGCTCACCGGAGCAGCAATCTAGAGAGTGAACTTAGACTCTTGCCTGACCTTCGAACCTTGCCCCAACAGTTTTGAGACAGTAGCTGCCTCACGGAAAACGCATGGTGAGGAACCGTCTTTCACACTTCCACCTGCTGTGTGGAGAACTGAGGGCTCAGGGTCACCCAGAGTACAGCCAAGAGCGACAAATTTCAAGAATCCTGTAAGCCCACAACACCTTCGCTATCGAGTATAGCAGAAATGTGCTGCATTCTGCAGAGGGTGTGCGTCCACTGAATGTTGAAAATAATGTTGACTTTCTGAAAGATCTGACAGCAGATTGAAACCCTGGAGAAAAACAGAGCGGTTAATGTCTGTGCATGGATTACATCACAACTAGCTTTGAACACAAGGATGTGTAAATATAAGAATTCAATTTTCGCAATTCCAGAAGATGTGCTAGCCTGCTGTGCCTACTCAGCAGGTGTCTTGGGTAAACCACAAGCTTTCTTGCTGAAGGTCCTGTATGGCTAGTCTATATTTCAGACTAGGAAGAGTAAATGCTTCAGAGGATCCAAACTTTGTAAATGCAATAGTCCGGCAGTTCAGATTATGATGGCAATGGATTCACAGGTGTTTTTTTTATACAGAACATTTTCACGATTAAAATGTAGCAACCTAGGTAGCAATTACATGATTACAGACTTTCCTTCAATACCTTGTATTTATGTACCCAGCATCCCTTGTCAGTGTTACATAGCACACAAATGCAGTATTTATTTTACCCAGGCCACTAATTCTAGGAGCCACTTTCAACGTGAATTCTTATAAAATTGGTGCAGGTTTTTCTGATTGAGAAATACTCAACAAAACATAGGAGATTCACCAAACCTATAATTCCTTGCATTTATATTGCACTTTTCATCCCAAAGGATCTCGATGCTCTTAACATATAGGAGGGCATCCACCTCATCCACCGCTGAAGTGCAGCACCTGTCCTGGTGCCAGTTTGCACTGGCAGTTCAAGTACAGCAAGTGAGAAACTGATTCAGACATATATTTTGAATCTCTTTTTCAGTCCTGCTAGAAGGGCAGACTTTTAAATGCTTTTGTTTTTACTGATCGAAATTGTGACACTGAAATTACAGAAGGTTACATTATTTCCAGGTTTTCTACAGATTTGCTGGCTGAGCTTTTAAAATCACAGACGTGTTTCTTCACTGAAAATTCTGGCCCAATCCTGTGGACTGGAAAGGGTTAGCGCAAACTGGATTTCTTACTGACTCAGGAAAACACTTTTTGCAGATTTTTTTCCCAAATTGTATCTGAAAAGGAAAAAAAATGTCATGATATTTTCTCTTCTCCCTGCCCTTTCTCTTTTCTTCATTGTGGTATTTTTATATAACATCACGTTTTTGGTGTTTAAAATTTTGCAGTCCTGTTAGATTTGTATTGCCTAGTTAAATGTTCTTATAACCATAGTCTTCTGTGAACCATCGTTTCTTTTATTTTGTTTTAATGAAGGTCTGTTGGAGCCTCTGGGTGCATGGTGCACTCGGTGAGAGATAGCTAAAACCTGTTAGTGTCCCAACAATAGCAAGAGATGGCTGCCAGCATTATTTGTTTTTAGTGTGAGTATTTGTATTTGTTTATTGTACAAGGTGAACATTTAGCATTCAGTGCAGTTCAAATAAAAAATACACTTCTGAAATCTGATTCGTTAATGAATGCTTGTATGCAACATTTTCCTCCACTTAATGTTCTTTTTGTTTCTATTTAGATCCAGATGAAGCATACAATGGTTTGACTGTAAGAAAGCGTGCCAGTGGCATGATTTTTCATTTTTAAAGCCATGATTTTAGTTAGGATTAGAGTGTAATAGGATATAGTCAATGAAAGCGATGTTGTGCAGTTGAACAGCAGATTTCTCTTTTTTTCATAGCTTACAGCTATTTCATCTGGCTGGTGTCGCTGTGCTGAGCTCTGTTCTGGATTAGGGCACCTTCCGTGTGGAGTTTACAAGTTCTGCTCATGTTCACGTAGGATTTTTCCTACCTGGTGAAGACATGCTGGCAAGTTGATTTGCCAGTTAATTAATGTCTCTAAATTGCGTACACGTGCGCTGGGTGTAGTCTCGCCTTGAGCCCTGTACTCTTGGGTTGGGCTCTGGGATTACCATGGGTTTCACCAGCGATCATGGCTTTGAGTCTTTGATCAGATTTCAGCTCTGTCCTGGTTAAGGTTGTTTTTTTTTTAGGGAACGTCTGTATACTTTATTCACATTCTTGTACATTTTCCAGATTGAGGATATATACTTCTAAATAAGGTTTAATGTTTTCTATATATGAATTATTCCTTACATTTATAAAGTGCTTTTCATCCCACATAAGTATACCTGTAGGTTAGGCTACACGTCATTCACCCCTGAAGGACTGCACCCACATGAGTGATGTGAGGGCTATCCACCAGCATTCCCATAACGCAGCACAGCAGGTGAAGGATGAAAGTGCTGAGTCGATTTAATCAAGAACAGAGGTCAGGTAAACCAGATCGAACATGCTGATGGTGACATTTTACCACCTGAATACTCGCAAACAGTACCATCACACTTTTAGTTACTTCATGGTAGGATGGTAGGACCTAGGTTTAATCGCTGCCAGCATCCCTACTCACCATCCCAGGGCATTGCTTTAGAAATTCTGCAGCAGGGTGTTATCCCGAGGTCCACCACCAGTTACAGGGACTATCTGATTTTCCTTAAGAGGTGTCCGAGTGCGGACCAGGTCCTGCTTATCTTCAAGATCTGGAAGTATCAGACTATAAGGCCAAGATAATACATTATATTAAGACCGAATTTGACATTGCTTCAGTAGTGATAGAGTGTATTCGTACGTTTTTAAACAATTGCGAAGTTCCGGTTTTTATAGAAGTGGCTACCTACTGTAGCGCTCAAGATTTTTTAGTTCTTATTTTGTCCACAAGAGGGAGCAGTGGAACACGACTTTTCCATGTTTTGAGGCATGCCGAGAGCGGAAGAAAATTATGGTTGTCCTTTACTATTAAAATGCTGACTGAACCCCTTTAATCGTCAGTTCTTCTGAGACGCAGGCCCAGTTTCTTGCAGTAACCAGAATTATAAAATGGATCACATGAGAGGTTAAAAGATCATGTGAATAGATTATAGCAACTAACTTGTTCAAATAGTTTAAGATCACGCGGTTTTGTTCAACGGGATTTCTTTTCAACTGGGTAAGAATCCGTGACCTCCACCATATATTCTCATCAGCACATTGCTAAATGCGCTTTACAGAAACTGCTTTCATCTTTTTAGTTGCTTTGAAACGACAGAAATGTAATCATTCAGGAAACATCAAATATACAACGTACGTGTGCTTCAGAGTCTAATAAACACGTTTAGTGAGGAGCAGACTATCCTTTTACAGTTATCGCCACTTTATATGCAGAAGCAATACCGTGAAGAACAACTACGGTGAAAGTAGGCGTTTAACACCGGTTAAGATATGGATGTAACTATGTATATATAGGTTATAAGTCCACAAGCCTAACGAAATGCTATTAGAAATGTTAAGAAAGGATTTCATATATTATGTCGAACTGCTCACAATGGAAATGCTTTTGTTTGCTTGGATCCTTTTCATACATAAGCAGCAGTTAAAAGTACAGATACACATTTAAAGAGGCTCAGGTGTTCAAGCTGTTACGAGTTTATTGTTTCGTTGCAATGGGATTGCATCAGAAAATAAGTGGAACATGAAGCCAAGTCTGCTAGGAAAAAAAAACACAAAAGTGGGGTAGGAGGGGGGTCTGTTAAATCTCCATCAGAAAAAATATGATGCATTACGAAAAGCTCGAAGAATGAAACCCCAGTCGTTACGAGATTCGCTTGCCAGGCTCTGTAGTAAACTAAATTTCCTTGTGCACAATCAGAACTATGAATTAAAGTTAATATCCACTAGTTTTATCAATTCAAAAATTAATTTGCCCGAAAGTGTAAGGATTCTAGTCACGCTTGAAATTCGGTAATTACAATGGAGAGTAAGTCTTGGGCGCTCCTGGAGTAATCACATTGCCTGCCCTAAAGGTACTGTTCTTGCGACAGCTAACTTCATTTTATTCCACGCCAAAACACGCTCGCTGGTCCGGTTGTTAACCAGTCCTCTGTGCACGTAACTGGCTGGACTGGTGTTCTGTATCTTGTTCATATTTACTTCCACTGAGCAGCTTTAAACTTGTGGTGCATTAGCAGAGGAATCTTGAATTCTTCTGCACGTCTACAAATAGCTAAGAAATCTCAACTCTCTGCTGCCCTTCTCTATTCCGGATATTCAAACAAATCCCAGCCTAAGACTTTGAAACTGGGAACTTTTTTTTGTTCTGCTTATCCGCAGCTCATATTATCAAAACCACATGTATACATACAACTGGTTGCAACAACAAACAAAAAATAAAATCACTCGTGACGTAAAAGTCAGACAACATGGTCCTGTGATATTTAAGCCCCCATTCTTCCAAAACATCTTTCCAAAAAAATATACCGTTTTTGGCAAAGCAGCTCCTGACATTTTACATGTTTAATATTTTAATTTTAAATAGCATTTTGAAACTATACTTACCTTAATAGTTTATAAAGGGTTTTTATAACTCAGGTTCATGTCATCTTCATTCAGTACTAAACTAAGAATTTCTTATTTTGCATTAATAAGGTAAATACAAAGCAGCATACAAAATTACTTCAGCTGTGTAGGTCTTTGAAGATTACACCAAAACAGTGCATATACAGTACGTTTACTCATGGCTATTAAACCAATGTTATCCAACCAGATAGTGTTATGCTTTGGTTTGCAGTTTCATCTGTGAAGATAAAGATTAGTAAAACATTACTAAAAAAGAACAAATGGCAAATATTACAAGATGAAAGATGAATTACTTATTCAGAAAGGAAAATGGAAAATATTAAAACAGGACAGGAAATGAAAGTGATTCTAATTTAATGTTAATGCATTAATTTCATAATGTTGAATGTGTTTGGTGACTTCTTCCCCTCCCCAAAAATAAGCACCAAGGTTGTAACATCAAAATGAGGTACTCATCACACATGAATAACTAAAGTAAACTTGTACAGATTTTTCTCACAGCAAGAATATGTATTTTGTGCAACAAAATTCTTCATCAAGATTGAATAAACAATCAACAAAACCACAAAAAAATCAAAACTGAATCCGAGGGAGAATATAGTACCTCCTCTGCACTCTGCAATCTCTTGACAAATAAATATTTTTTAAAATCTTCAGGCCTGTCAAGGGTAAACAATCAGGAAAAAAAAAGTCTTTATCCCTAAGCGGATGTAGCTGTGTCAAAAGGGGATAGAGGTTTAGATTTGAACAAAAAAAATCCTTCTATTCTAGTCTGGCAGGTAAATAGATGTGTTATGCAGTGATGTGAAGGTAGAGTGTCCATAACAGAAGTTCCTGAAGATGGAGAACCTGGCCCAGGTAGAGCCTGTAACGTGATCCAGATGGGCAACACTGGCTTCTATCACACACAAGAAAGCCAAATGAAAACGTGTTCAACTAAAAATAGGGGGAGACTTAAAAAGAAATCTAGACTGAATAAACGCCACTTTAAAAATGTGCTTTAAGTGCCCATATTAAACCAATATAAAGTTTCCTTTTTGTTGCTGGTATTTTCCTATTAACAGAATTTCTCAGACAACCACATGCATTACATTTATGGATAAAGATTTACATTTGGAAAAAATTAAAGTTCAATATAGCATTTCAGTAAACTAGAATTCTTTTGTATTAATTTCAATCCAACCATTTTCTATTTTGCAGCAAAGTAGAGGTGTCAGTCAAACATTTTTCATATTTTCAGGACGCATCTGCTATTTTTTCTTTTAGGTGTTTTATACTCTTGCGGCAACAGCTCTTCTTTCGAGTACTTCTAGAGGGCTGCTTGCTCGTCCCTTTCTGGGAAAGGGCTGCCCCACAACAGAGCGCATGGAAATCCACATGACATGGATGAGGCTGCACTGCAGTTGCGATGCTAATCTGGTCTCCTGCGCTCCCTCCCTCACTCATCATCCTCCTCCTCGTCCTCTTCCCCATCCGAGAGGGAGGCACAGGGCCGGATCTGCCGGTAGCGATCCAGCCATTTCTCCACCATCTGCGTGACCAGTGGGTGGTTTCTCCGCCGCGAGCTCTTCTGCAGGGCGACCAACACGCCCCCCTCCGTCACGCAGCAGTCAAGCCACTCCCGCAACAGCTTCTCTTGTTGCTCCTCGTTGCCGATCTGAGGACGACAAGCAAAACACTAAACACACACATAATGCAAGGTTAGCATTACTGTTACCGACGAGAAGAGTCTTATCCCTGTCCTTCTGCTGAATATGTATAACAAAATGATCCAATCACAATCGGCTCACTCTCCTTATCATATCTGTAGTTGTCGGAGGAGAGCCAGTCATCGCCATTTTTAACAAACACTGCGCCGAGAGTAATGATGGCACTTCTTTTCAGGGAACCAGTTGTAGAACCTACTGATCCCTTTCAGACAGACGGCAGTCATTATCAAAGGGCAATAGGGTATCCAAACCTTCATAAACCAGGAGGGAGAGTGAGCAGAAGACAGCCTTATATGATCACATTCAGTCTGTAAAAAGGAGCACGTGTAGGGGGGGCAGCCTGGAGAGGTCTTCAAGAAGGAGGGTTCCATACCCAGATGGGGCTTGATGAATAAGCACAGGCTCACAAGCTGTAGAGGCAGTCTTAACAGCCCAGGGATCCATACTTGCAAGACCAGACAAAGTGGAGTGGTGCCAGGAACAATGTTGTCCAATAGAAACTTACACTGACCACAGTCTGGAGTGGAGACTTTTCACAGTGTGAGGATGAGCACTCTGTTCATTAAAGCCACATCAGAATACAATATACCCAAAGATAAGTCAGGGGCCTCAAGATTCAAGAAGTGGTTACTGTCGTGATAACACTAAACCTGTGCACACTGGGCTGGATCTGAATCACTAAGATGTCAGTAGGTAAAAACACAGGTAATCTAGTTTCCATCCAAGCAATTCCTGCAGAATGATGCACAACAGCAGGCACAGCCCAGTCAGGGATTCCTGCAAGCTCAGCACTGAAGCAATATAGTCCACATGAACAGTCTGCTGAACAGGTGAGAATGGGTTCACCATGAGATCTGTGGCAGAGCAGTGTTGGTAAGGTTCCCCACCACAGGGACCAGGAATTACGTGGCCTTGAAATTGATGGACATTGTCCAACCCCTTGTTAGAACCAATTAGAGCAGTGTTGCCCATTAAGACAGGAAAGTCCAGGAAAGGCAGGGAACAACAGCAGACCTGCAGCAGATAGCCCTCTGACATGGTGCATGCCGGTACCTTCTTCCATTGGCTGAGTACATCAGGTTGTAGGACTCCACTTCAATCTTGTAAGAACATTGATTGGTCTGTTGCACAATTAGCACATTGTTCTACCAATCGGCACCAAACTAGCCAACACCCTTCATAAAAGTCTATACACCTTGATTCATTAGCACATCCACCTAAGATTTGATGTAAGGTGCAGGATATACTGCTTTGTGTTTTTTCTTGATCTATACAATAATGCCAAAACAATGAAGATCTAAAATCAGTGTTATTCTTATAAAAACATACATAGAGGTAAGTTAATGGCACATCCCTTTGGCAGAACATGTGTTCTCAGCACATATTTCTTTTTGTGAAAAGTGACAAATAGAAAAGGTCAGAGCTTGCCACAAAAGATACAAGATTCTGAACAAGCTGGCATCTGGTAGCCCATTTTACCTTCCTGCTGAGCACTCCGAATATAATTCAGAATATAACTACAGAGCCCAAAGGCATCATTTATGTTTTTCTGAGCGCATACATGCATGAAAAAATTGCAGCAGTAAGCCAAAGGAGTGGGCAGACAAGGCACTCCAATCTGGGGTCCTCATAAAAGCTGCAAATTTCAGAATGAAGTAGGAGTAGAGTTACTCACAGACTGTAGAACCGATTTGATAAAGGTTACAAAAGTGAACGAAATAATTATAGACTGATAAGCGTGACTGCTGGGACATGTTATGGAAACAAGAACTAGAGGATCACCTGTTTGAAAAATGCTATGGAATCAGTCCATAGAAGGACTGCCAGATACATCCCATCCCTCAAAGGAAAGTCCTACACTACAAAGCTTCTGTGAGTTTATCAATCTCGAACAGAGTCCGAGAGGACCCGATCTAAAACCGGCTCCACAGAAATCCCGATTTGTATTCAATTCAATAGATAAATCATACAAGAAGAAGCCACATGGAAGTGCATTTAAAATGGAGAACAGGGGACACTTGCAAAAGGTTATGAGAGTAGAGAATGGAAAACAGAAATAAACTGCTCATCTGGCAGGAGCAGAGGCAGACAGGATGGCGGTATACAATCAAAATGATTTGCCATATATTGTCACTGCTCTTCTGAAGGCTAAGAAATACTTTGGTAGTTACGACTGCACCTACCGAAAAGGGAATTATAGATACTAATACCCAGACAGTGAGAGGAAGGAGAGAAAAAAAAAACTATACTCATGCTAGAGATCTTAAAGTAGGATATGAAATGATCCAGCTCGTTCCTCAAATTACTTGTTAGGCCTCTGCAAACACTTCCCTACTGAGTTAAATTTCCAGGTTAGATGAAACAACCTTTAATCATTAAGATCCTAGAACCTCCTGTGGACAGTATTACCTCTTGTGCAGATAAAAAGTGTATGTGCAGTAGCTTCCTCTCACTGTCGACTAATGGTAAGAAGGTAACAGTGACGTCGTCGTCTGTATTGAGGTTGGCGCCCGCGCCTCGATTGTCATAGCCGTCATTCTCCATTGCCACCAGTGCAGAAAAATGGCCCCTTGTGTAACCAAGAGCAATGGGACTTTTCCAGCAAAAGCTCTGTTCCCACAGCAAAGGCAAATAAACGCCTAGGAAGAGAAAAGGGGAAAATTCATTTAAATAAACCACTTTGTGTATAGGGTTTTGGCACGGTCACAACAGCTACACGTTAAACTTGCATCGTGATAAAGAACATTCTTTATTCGTTTCACAAGTATTGTACAAGCAAGTGATCTCTAATATCCTTCACATCCAACCATTACATTTGTGATTTTTTTTTTAATTAAGATAACTCACAATTCTATCATGCAAGGACAGAACTGGTAAGATGTGAACTGAAATTACTCGAATAATTCCAACATACAAACATTTGGCTAATAAACTTTAAATAAAGCTCTCCATGTGACCAAGGTGAAAGACACTAAGCTTTTGCACAGCTAACCCTAGTCTTTCACCATGCTTAACAGTTCAGATGACAGCACAGACTAAAAGAAATACTTCCTTTTCCTCAATATAAACACATTGTAAATTTACGCAGTAACAAGTGCACAAAAAAGGTCTAGTTTATCGAAAAAATATTTTAAAAATGTACTTATTTTTTGCTTTTCTGGCATTCCACTTTAGTTTCATGATATTAATGCAACTTTTGCAAGTTAAGATCTCCTGGTGGGTAATTTAAAAAAAAAAATTTCAGAACTACACTCTAAACTGTACTCCAGTCAGTTGCAGGGCAGACACACTTGGACAAGTTAGAGATATAAATTAACTTAAACATCTTCTGAAGGTATGAGGGAGTCAGAGCAGCTGGCAAAAACCTTTATACCAAATTACAAAACTGAAAAGTTTGTGAAAAGAGAATTCAACAAGGATCAGAATTGATTTCAATCGAAAGCAGTAGTTCATCTCTTAAATGTTATCCAGACAACAAAAAAATCCAAGGTGAAGCCATTTCTCCTGTGAAGTTAGGCAGCATCCACAAGAAGGAGAAACAAAAGGCACAGTGTGTTCTTATGCAAGAACTGCTGGCTTGGAAATTAAACTCAGAAGCCCTCAGCAACGTTGTCTGAAAAGGTATAATTTATACTTCAAGTGAAGCCTTAACCATTCCAGTTTTTTTTCTACTTAATTGCAGGCAGTCTTGAAAGATTCAGATTGTATTCAGGCAGCCCCCAGGTGCATTTGATTAAGTTCAGGACTGAAAAAGCCAAAGGTGAAATGGAAAGAGTATTTAAGATTTTTAAAGTGACTGACTAAATACATGGCTTAAATATTTTTCCCTAAATTTCTACAGAGGAAACACTCAGGTAATGATATTATATTACCTAGTTATTCAGAAAACAGTTAAGTTTGTAAGAAAACAGTTTGTAAGAAACACCACAAGATTTCTAAAACGGGAACGCAAAATGTGAATTAAACATTGTAAAATTAAGAACAAGCTGCTTACCTTGAAAACGTGTGAAACCTAATGTTTCACCACGAAAACTCTTATAATACTTTACTCCATAAACTATGATTGGTCTACGAAGAATGTGTGCAAGAACAAAAATATGAGTCTGCTCCAAACTTGCTCCAGGCTAAAAGTGAAAAGAAAATAATATTAATCCTTTTCAATGCACAACACATTGTATTCTACACAGATTCTATGTGGTAAACGTGTTTAATTAATATTGGGTTGTAGCCCTGAAAACTGCTGTTGTAGTAAGGTCTAGAAGAACAATTGAATTTGGCCGATATTTTTATCTAAAGTGGCTTACAGTTTTCCTTCCTTATATAAATGATGACAGCCTTTTGTACAGTTGGGTTTTCCAGAGTGATCTGGGAAATGGGCCTTGCTCAATGGTGCAGCAATACTCTCCACCTGGGATTTCTACTCTCAGACTTTTCCCAGTACATTCACATTCTGAAAAGAGATGATTTATTGATCTTCATGTAACAATTCCGACATGATTCCAGAGTGGGGGAGGTCAGAGGCTCTTCATTGTCAGCTAGTACTATCAGGTGTGATTTCTTAGAGACTCGACACAAAGACCGAAGGGGGGACGATTACATTAAGACATCTGTGAGATTACTGATATGCAATATGTATTTCAGGTCTGCTAGGCCAAGGGCTGCATTATAAGTGTATCACCTCCTAAAAAAATAGATTTCCCGGGAACGTATTTTACATGGTTTATGGATGCAATAGCTGACATTTATTGATAAATGTTTAGCACATAAGACAATATGATTGGAAAACATTCTTCTACGACTGAGCCTACATTAAGGGATTAAGCATCTACTTGACCTTAATAATGCACTGCATTTGGCAGGAGACGAAATGGCCTTTACAAAGCTAACAAATGCATGGTCTCGGTAGTTGTGGGTAGAACACAGGAAGCACATTAAAGGACCTGTTCTTTAACAGATGGTTGGAGGAAACGACATTGAACGCAACTACACAGTTTACCTGGATTTTCCAAAGAAGAATGTTCCCACCGAAAATGTATTTAGCTGAACTAAAGGGCTGCCCTACAGGTTTGCCAGATGACCTGGCAATGCACCTGGAACCCAGCGAAGAAAAGCCAAGCTATCTGAACAGGCTACAGGAAGGGTACTTACCTGACTAGCCAGGGACAGAATGAAAGCCCAGTCCTCCTGCCACTGCTCTTCCCGCAGAGAGAAGTGCAATCCAAAGCTCTGAGAATACCAAGACTCCCACTCTTTCCAGCGCGTGTAGAACCTGAAATCAGTTTAAGTACCACCACTCAGCACCACAACCCCCACAGCTCATAAAAAAAAAAAGAACTGCACTCCTAGGAGACCCATCCTTGAACTTAAAAAAGTCCATTGGAATAACAAACTGCAGTGCAGCTACTTTAAAAAAAAATGATCTACACAAATATAGTTCAGTCTCACTCTCTCCACACCATTTTTAGCAAAACAATTTCCACAGTGCAGTTTTCTTACCAGTGTGAACAATCATGGAGACTATCATGAAGTGCTTTCCGTAAAACGGAATCTTTATCATAAATGCCCCAAGTGGCCTGTAGTACTGAATCGAGGAGGCAGTCTCCTGCTGTTCGATTCCAAAGGGCATACAGTCTGCTATCCAGTCGAGTCCCCAGCTCCAATGACCAGTTTATAATTGGAGATTCTTCCTCTAGCTCTAAAGAGGGAAAGGATGTGAAAAAGCACAACAACCGTTTTAATTGCACTCTTTACTAAACTGCTGTATTTCAGCTCTGCCTCGTTTAAAAATGGATAAATGGGCCACAGTACAAGTACTCTGAGGCCTGCAGAAGGCCAGTCTGGATGGAAAAAAACAACCTAATCCCAGAAGGAAGCATCACTCAATAGGGGATACACTAAATCCTTGAATGCCCTAAAACTAAATTAACCCAATTAGACACTGAGCAACATTAAATGAGAAAACTAAAGTAGATAATTAAGGTCTCATTAGGCTAAGAAATGTGATGTATTTGTACAAAGTGGAAAACTAAAAAAACAGAAGGACAGATAAGTCACATGAAGTAAACCACATTAATAAAGGGCTTCCATAAACAAAGGACAGCCCATGTTCTCCAAGCGCTATTTCTGACAATGCTCTTAGGTTAAAACACTGAAAAAAAAAGCGTTAGAGACTTCAGATGTTCACATATAATAAGCACTGCATTTCCTGAATGGTCTGCATTTCATTGCCTGAGCGTTTATTAATATCATTTTACCTTTCTGCACATCTCGGTCTAGCACTTCATCAAACAGCTTCTCCTGAACTGTAGGGGGAAGGTCCTCGATATCTGCAAATAAAACGTTTATATATTAAACAGTCAAAAATGACTGTTTTTCACTGGCAGTCACTGTGACAGAAGGCTCCAATACTAAGAACATTCCTACCATGGGGATCCTGCGCTTCAACTTCCAGCTTTCAACATGATTCTGCCTTCAAATTTTACACAGAAATGTCTTTGGTTTTAACAGCTGATAAACCATTTGTGCATGTTATATTCGCTGCAATACACTAGTAAACAAACTATTTGGTAAGCTACATTGTGCTCAACTGCACATTCATAATGCCCAAGAACACTGGTATCCATTATCTGGTATAATAATGAATGCACTGGTTTTGTCAAACAGAAAGCTGCTTAAATGGCCTCCAGCCAAAATTCTGCATGCAAAGAAATATTTGGCATAACAAAATATATTTTTTGCAGATCGCCAGTCTCAGCTTAATCTTTTGCCTCATGTTAGATTTACAAAAAAAATACACTCATGAACTCTTAACCTTAGCTCTTTGGTTTTATTTTTAGAGTCCTGTGCCTACCACGATACGAAGACAACTATGTACCCAAGATTATAATGCCAATCACAGAACCTTTTGTTGCTTACATTCTCACACTTTATATTTTTCAGCAAGGACAGAATGCAAAACTTAATCTACAGTGCAGAGAGAGTTTGTGAACCCCCCAATATATTTAGAGCAATTACAGCTTCTTACAAGGTTACTCTTGATGAATCAAAATTGTTTTTTTTCTTAAAATATACCAATTCAATTGGTATGGTGTATGAAGAAAAGATTAATAAGTATGTGTGAAATAAGTGAACCCCCTATTTTAGCAAAAACGAGTGGATGTTAGAGTAAAGTGGTTTAATTAGGTAAAAAGAAAACAGACCGTTTGACCAGTGTCTGGTCTAAATGTTCAAAACATTTGAGAATTTGATGCTCTCCATATGGGTTAGTGGAAACACGTCATGCTGTGATCACAATTTCTAAACATTTGTCTAGACTCATCTGTCCATCCACTGTCAACATTTTCCTATTACGCACTAATGTGACACCACGTAAAAGCAGTCTTCCTACCAAGACTCCCCAAGAGTAAAGAAGCTCACCAGAAAGTCACAAAGAACCCCAAATTAACAACTAAAAATATGCCAGCCCCTCTCACTGCATCCAGTCGGTATCCACGACCATCAGGAAAAGACAGGAAAAGGAAAACGTTTTTTTATAGGAGAATACCCTTAAAGAAACCCTTTCTCCCCAAAAGAACACTGCCTCTGAAGTTCACCTTGATGATCCACAAGACCAAAGGAAGCACATTCTTTGGAAAGACAAGTTAAAAATTGAACTTTATGGCCACAATGACAAATGTTGTGCAACACAAAAACCTTAACTGCCTTCCAACGGAAGCCCCCACTCCCAACTGTCAATCATGGTTGAGGAAGTATCATGGATTGGATGCTTTGCTGCCTCAGGATTCAGACAGCTTGCCATCATCGACAGAACCATGAAACTATGTCACCTCAAGCCGAGCCAAAAGTGGCTCATGCAGAAAGACAATGATCCTAAGCATACAAGCAGATCCACAAGAAAATGGCTGAAACGGATTGGTCAAGTCAGAGTCCAGACCCAAACCCCACTGAAATGTTATGGTGGGGTCTGTAGCAAGCGGTTCATGCCCAAAAATTTGAATGTCACCAACACTCCTAAAAAAGAAAAACGGTTACTGGAAAGGTCTAGTTGAAGTCATTGCCACTCGATGAGTTGACACCAATTGCTGAAACTAAGACTTCACATACTTATTCATACAAGGACATTTACCAATGGATCATCCATAAATAATCCATTGTCAGTAATACATTTAATTTGGTTATCCACCTATAGAAGTTTCTTCATAATGCTCCAATTGTGTTTTAGGTAAAAAAATGAGAATACAGACCAAACTGGGGGGGGGGTTCACAAATGTGTTTTATATGCACAAATGTCAGACAACCATCACTGTAACTAATCAATAAAAATCATTTTTGTGACGGTAAACTATAAGCTGTACTTTAATACCCAAAAATCCAGTAGCAGGTCCAGTGATTTTACTCTACCTGCTGGTAAGGTGAAGGTGACGAGATCTGTGAGAAAGTAACAGGCGAAGTCACCCTTGCGCTGGTGCAGGGAGGCAGCAACCTCTCGGCGTATTTGCTCTGTCAGCTCTGGACACACCATGGCAGGGATACACTTGGCAGCTTGCTGAGAGACCTGTGGGAAATCACACACGCACACATAAAAAAAACGTATCTGAGCAACAGCTACTACAGAGGCAAGTTTCTTCTGCCACTCTACACAAAATACTGCAACTAATTTTACATTTAAGAAAAATTGAATTTTGTTAGAATTCATTACGTTTGGCCAGAAAACTGAACTGAATTGACCTGATAAAACTTTCAGGATACAAGCACTTTCTACATTTGAAAGGACTTTGCCACGTTTACACATTTGATCCGTTTGCATGTATGCCATAACATTTTACAGTGTATTATGTTCAGTAGCTCCAATGTCATTTACAGCATTCCATAAACTTCCAGATATTTTAATCACAACCCTTTCAACTAGGACTCAACACATCCATGACATCACAACCAATAAATCAGCCAAAGTCCCCTCCAGAAGGATCGAAGGAATGATCCTTTATTTCATCCCCTTCACCGGCACCAGGCGGGAGCATGAGATCCCTTTGCTCGAGGGAAATGCAGATAGTACAGGTAACATTTTCAACAGGTATTCAGAGCTATTAATGCAGGTAAAGTCAGGACATTTTGACATCTACAACATTCCAACATCTCAAAGAAACTAAGGCAAAATTTGTATTTTTTAATGCTGTTCTGATATGCAAAGCAGGTTTAAGCAGGATGTTGACAGGCATACAAATTCAAGAAATGCTTCCACAAACAGAAAAAAACGTATTTACAGAGGGTAACTTCTTTGCTTTGACATCTGCAAAAAGAGGACACCAAAACCTCTAAAATTAAAATCAACATTTCTGTTGCATTATCATGTAATGCTATTAAGGTCCACTGTTAACTGGAGTGGCAACAAATCCACATGCTATACTCTCAACTTGCTTCAGCTTGTGTGCAGGATCTTACCTCTGTCAGGAGAATGGCTAACATGTCTTGTCTCTGAAAGCGGATAGCTAGATGTACCAGAGTATAGCCATCGTCAAAAGCAGAAGGACGGTTTAAGAGACGCACTTCATCAGCTGTGAGCTGCCGTGCAATGTCCCCTCCTGAAGACTTGTAGGCTTCCACTGCTGCCAGGTCCCCTTCCACAACACCTGTCGCACAACAACACAATAAATGAGGCGCCACCTGCAAGGATTCCCCATGTCCCACAAGAATCCCTTGTAACAGCAGAAAATGCATAGTGTGCACAGTTCACACTGGTATGAACACTACGTGCATATTATCTAAGTATAGGAAAACAAGTCAAGAGATCCTACTCAAAAGCAACAGTTCACCCAAGTCACACAAGTGCTGGATATCCGAGATGGAAACATCAGGGCCTAGAATCTGTGTTCCGACAAACCCAGCATCAAAAATCCAGCAACCGTTTCAAATCAAATGCACCCCTTACTCTGTAACTTCCTCATATTATGCACTGATATTTTAGAGGACAATTCACTGATTGTGACAGCTGCACAGCCATGTTGCTCACTTTATTAATGCAATGTAAGAGAAAACTGGAAAAAAAGCAGATGGCAGGTATTTTAAGAATCAGTGTTGCTTTTCAGTCTTTGATGAAATGCACTGTCAGTCATTTGCAAATAATTGCCAAGTTTTATTTGCACACAATTACATAAGGTATGTCGTCGTACTCCATCCATCGTCATTCACACCACCATCAGATCACGCACTGTACATTATCAACAAGTCTGCAAGGAGAAACAAAACTAATCTGTAGTCTTAATGCAGACAGCAGTAAAAGACTTATAGCTAATGATCAGTCAGTATAGCCACCTACTGAGAGCCTACAGCAATGTCAGGATAGCCACCTTACCACTAAATCTAGAGAATAAAGCCTGATTCTCTCTTCACAATTAAGATGTTCATTTAAAGTTTTTTTTAAGAATTAGAGATTAACAGAAATGAAAAAGATGAGCATCGACCACAGTAATGGATCCTTGCAACAGGACTAAAAAGCCACTATTGTAAAATAACGACAATTTCTCGACTAGGACAACAATGCAGAGAATTCAATGCAAAGTATTTGTAGAAATTGAGAAAAAAATTCACAAATTTGGTATGCTGTTACTGTGACCATGAAATGTTTCAGTTCAAAGAACATTAATCTTCCTGGATGTTTTTGTGATTACTACTTCAGTGGATTGTGTAGTCTGAGCCCAGTTTTTACTTGACTTATGGCCAGCTTGCTGATGTAACACTGCTACCATTGAACCACTTGCTAATTATAACAAGTCCCGTGTGAAAGGGACATTCCTAATCACACTGGAATATGTCACCTTGAAAAGTCTAAGCCTAGAGGCTGTTGCAAGGTTGCAATGTCCTAAATCACAGCCTAAGACAAATGTTTCCAAGGAGCTATCCAAATGGCCACTGCAAATTATACTTAATTTCTCAGTTTTAAAAGTGTACATTTTACCTTCACTAAAGTCATTGTTCAGCAAAGTCTCAGAACCGAAAGCCAGGGGTGACAGTAGGACTGTAGACGTAAAGGTCTCACAAGAGAACTGAATTCTGAGATAAGCAAAGGCAGTCTGAAGAATCCTAATCATTCCAAATGTCTGACTGACCCCCACTAAACCGCCCACAGTTTTTGCACAACATCATAATTTTTCAACAACATCTGCTGTTCAAAATATGTTTTTACTTGAAGAGATTCATGACTTTACCCAAGAAGGTTTTGGCCAAATTAACACCAAAAATGGTACTGGTCCAAACTTTCCAGTAACTTCAGAGGTGTTGCCTATGAGCCCTTGACAAATGCCCAACTTTGACAAACACGAAACTGTTAAAAATGGGGGGGCTCTATGATGATATGTTAAACAAATGTGCAGGAATACCATCCCCATGTATACTAGTATTTACATAGTTTCCGTCTTCCGGACTTGCTGAATGTGTCAGGAAAGTAAAAATAAAATTTCCTATTTTTGTATGGACTTATTTTTCATGCTTCTCTTGCTCACTGAAACAATGTAGTGTAATACTGTCAGCAATTCTACAACCACAAAATCAAGAATTCACCATTCCTTAGGGCAGTAAAACCAGAATACAGTGCTGAAATTATACAAGTTACATTTTCTAAACTGCAAATTTCATAACTGGTCCATGCTGTGTAATTTGATTGATTTCAACATGCATTTCTATTATGCCATTACCATCAAGCAGAGTACCACTATCAAACTACAGAAATTCCCAAAATCAAGAAAGCATTCCAAAAAGAAATCAATTAGTTAAAACAATTTCATATTAAAGTACATCTTGAAATTCTAAGATTATATTAAAGAAAATAAGGGATGTGCACAATTAGGAGATCCAGATTACAGTATAATACAGAGAAAGGGTTCACACTTAGCAAACTAATATATATTTATAGACAGAATTCTCTATACTAAAAATGAGAAAAGGTCTGAATGGAATATACAGAATGGCAAGAGATTTTCCCTTGGGCAGTAAAAACTGACCTTGATACAACTGTCATTAAGCTAGAGCTTCATTTTAAACCCCGCATTACCCAATCTCTGTTGAGCAAAAACATACCGTCTCAGTTCAGCACCATAAAACAGCATAATGCAAAAAAAAAGTGTGTGCAGGTGCCCCAAGCCTTGAAACAAATTCCTATTTTCATTAAAAAAAACACGCCATCTTCTCAGTAAGAGTAGGAAGGTCAGCAGCCCGTGTACCCAGCTGTTTATTTTTGACTACTGCACATGTCAAAGTTATTTTTACTGCACATTGCCTACCTCAGCACATATGAGCAACACTGTTTACAAGCCCTCTTGATTTAAAGCCAATAGTAGCTCTGTCCCTCAGCAACCACAATGTCTGGAGAACAGGGGCATGTCTTCGAAATGTCTGCTCCTGTGCTCTACAGTACTGTCTCACTGAAATGCAGTCTAGTATCCATTGTCTAGAGCATTGAAAGGGAACAGTATGTTCTAAAATCATCTCTAGATTTTAATTCCTGCCTTCTCCTCCTCCAGAACTGCTTACAATGCAGAAGTCAACAAAGAAATCTATCCCACTCCCTCTTCTTAGAGATTACAATCAAACAGACCCTGATATCCTGTTGAAGAGTGATACATCTGAATGCATGAGTGTACTATAAGCAGGGCATTTTAAAGCACTCATTATAGCATAAACGATATAAACAAAAATAATCGCTGCCTACAATATAAACGTAAAGTACGTTTAACATACTACCTTAATCAGTTGTGCTACTCACAAGGATTAGTATTTTCAGTTGTTTAAAATGGAAATTAATTTCCTAGTATGTTCAGAATGCTGTTAAATAAGGATTTTTTTTGTTCCATGTACTGCTAATGCATTGCATAGTTTCCACTCCTTGCATACTAGAAACCATACAGATGCATTCTTGGAAATGGAAGGTCGCTATTTAACATCTAGGTTGTTTTAGCATGCAGACATCATCTGTTTGTAATCAATCACAATCTCTTTGTAAGCACAAGGTTTACAAATGAGATGAGTGCTTTCAGGACATTCAGAGCCCATTTGGTGGTTAGTAGCTAATTATCTAATACAATTGTATTATATAGCCAAGTAGCTCCTACGGCCATTCCTTGAAAGAAGCTAGATTATCAGCTTTAACAACATGCCTGGGTACCTTATTCAAGATTCCAACAATCCTGTGCGTAAAAAAGTGCCTCCTAACCCGTTTTAAATGCACTTCTACAGGTTCCACTTGTCTGCTCTCTATAGTGTTTAACTTGATGCAGATGATTCTGATTAGACATTTCAATGATTCATTTAGAGTAGGACATTCCTTCAACCCTGGAAATGTATGTTTGCTTGCAACTGTAGTTTTCCTTTTATACTTAGTTAACCTACTTGCATATGAAAGTAACTATACAACTATATAAAATGCCAGGTTTCAGATACTCCTATTTTGGCATCCTGTAAATGTCAATAGCTTTCAGGAATTAAACCACATATAATCTAGGAAGAGCAGTGGTTCTAATAGAGATACCTGGAGCACTACACTACTTAAAACATCCCAGTTGGAGCATTACATTCCTTATCGGTAACCTGTTTTCTAGACATCAACTAGTTTTTGATTCAAATACACATTACCTACTGCCTGCAGTTTAAGAATCTCTTTTACAACAACCTAGTATCTACAAAACAGTTTATTCAGCCTCTGGTAAAAGCTTATAATCAGCATGTTTTCATAAGCAGAAGCAACAAAATCTGTCCGAAGCTAACAGATATATGAAAAAGAATATTTAAATTGTTTTAAGGTGGCACAGAATCAACTGAACTGATAACTAATTTGATTTACAGTTCTTCGGTATAAAGGCCAGGAGAGAATGATGCACAGCAGTACAGTAAACAGTAGTGTCAACAAAACAGAAAGCCTGACCTGAGGCCATCGCACAGGACTGAAAAAGAGACGCGATTACGCCTTTCCTTACACCTCTCCTGAGCGCGACCCTGCTTTTGTACACTTGAGTGAGATCCTTCACTCCGATTGCTCCAGTAAGATGACCAGCTCTAAATATGGAAGTGCAAATCGCTTTGAATAGAAGTATCAGCCCAATTCACTCACCTGCACAGGCATTGAGGAACAGCCAGTCCGTTTTCCTCATTCTGTTTTTGATCTGCTTTAACTTTTTAAAGTCAACCTCGAGCTCCTCTTTGCTCCCGACAGCACCAGCAGCCAGTTCGATCCGCTGAAAATCCATTTTAACCTCCAAATCCCTCTTGGACGTGGGGGGTGACCTCCTCTGACCACCACTGCAGCTGCTCCTCCACCGAGCACGGTCCTGCTCGTTAATGATGGAGGAAGGGTCCTCGGACTCCGCTAGCTCTATTGCTTCTATGTTGTTAGGTTTGGGGTGGTCACACACAACACACTTCCTGGTCTTGGGCCAGTTTTCGTAGGTGCAAGCAGTGCAAGTCCAGTGCTGAGTCCTGGTGTTCAGCTTGTTCCGGTCATTGTACTCCTCACACGGGTCCACTGGAGGAGGGGCGGGCCGGCAGCCCGAGCCCGAGGACTGGGGTGACTCAGTCGGGCTGCGCGTCCGCTGACGCTGGCACAAGCACTGAGTGCATCTTATTGCACGGGGCCAGTTTAGGTAGGTGCACATGTGACATGACCATTTGCTGGTGCTCTCTGTGGCGTTGGCAGTCTTAACCCTGGGCCTAGCGCTAGAGTCTGGACAGATTAGGAGGCTGCTGCCCCCCTCAGTGCTGGATGGGTCCCACTCCCGGCTGCTTTCCAGACTAGAGCTGCTTTTGAAGGGGTCCTCAGTGATGATGGTGCCACTGGGTCTGTGTGCACGGCACATGGTGCATTTGATCGCCGACGGCCAGTTTTCATACGTGCAGTACTCACAAGCCCACTTTATGCCCAGCTCCGTCATTGTTGATCAGTCCCTCTCGCACAATATGTTGCTGCCCCCAAGGTCAGGAAGCAAGCTAATGTGGTGGGGAAAAAAAACATTGTTAAATGTCATGCTCTGTACTAGTTAGACCAAATAACTATACAATACTGAACATGCAGTACGTTGATGATAAAAGTCTAGGGTGAGGTAAAGGCATGCATTAGATACAAAGCATTTTCTGTTAAGTAGTTTAAAATAAAACAGAAAAAATTGGCAAATGGTTCCCTGGGTTGTTCTGCTTGTCCACAGTTTTGGAGGAAGACACTGACCATGCCAATATCTTGACAAGATAATACAGCCTTCTGGACAGTCATGCTGGAACACTTACATTAGGACTGGCTTGCAGGAATGGGAAAACTATTGGCTCAAGCACTTTGTCGATGTATTTCTGAGAGGCGAGGACATCCTCAATCTAGACCAAAGATGTCCTTATGTTATAGTGACTTCCTCCCAAAACCAGCATCACACTTCCCCTGCCCCTGCTCTTGACCTTAACAATGTAATGTCACCTTAATGCTGAGCCCCAGCGTGTAGGCTTCCATCAGCTTTGTCGAAGCACAAAACAGCATTTACCTAGGAATAAAACGCCACCACACTTTTTCAAACAATTTTGTACAACTATTTTGAAGAGTGTGATACTTTCCCCAAACATCATTATTCCTCAATTTATGTATATAAAACAACTTGAAAGAAATTTGACTCAGCTTACCAATCGGAACCAATATCTATTTTACATGAGATGAAAAACTAAACCATGCAACAGTAGCCTGTTGTCAGCATAGCCCGAACTGTTTTCAGTTAAGAACAATGTCTCTAAACATTAGGACTGAGCAATTTTTCACTTTCCATTGCCACAGTAAATACTAACCACAAATTTCTAAGAGCACAAAACTGTCACATTTTACAGCAATAAGGATATAGCTGCCTCAAAATGAGCAAAGCAGCAAAGAATGACCCAAACACTATCTAATGGCTACAGTGCAGATTGTCGTAAATGAAAAATCTTCAAGCTTTGATACCATTGCTTTCAAATGTTCAATATTACGTGGAACATTGGGAGCTGTACAAATATTAAAGCAAGAATAAACTTTGTTAAAAATAAAATATTGATGTTAAAAAGTAATTTCAAACATGTAAAAATAGTTGTATCTGGAAAGGAACCTGGGTGAGATCATTGGATCATTTACTAAGTACCAAATGGACTACATGGGCAGAATGGCCTCCTGGAGTCTGTATCCTTTATATTCTTAAATTAAAGTATGCATCTCCATGCAACTCAGGGCCAAAACAGAAACCCTATCCCCAACAGCTTATGCTACACAAATCAGGAGCTGCTAATACTACCACCATGCACAGTTTGAAGAACTGCTAAATAACAAGTCAGTGTAACCTGGACACTAGACCACTGCCTGGAGACATGAGTGTAAACACAACCCTTAAGTCTTAGGTTTCACTGTAAACGGCCACTTCCTATTAGCAAGTACAAAATAGGACAGACGCTGCATATTAATGCAATATGCTTCATGCAGTAATGCACAACAAATTCAGAAAACACACTTTATTTATTGTTGAAGTCTTCTTATTTATTGTTATTGTCATCCTGTAAAGCGCTTTGAGAAGCCACCTTTAAAGGCACTATACAAAATAAAGTTTATTATTACTTACCAAACATCTAACAGAATCTCTTAATAGTTGTGCATATTGTGTGTTAAACCAGATGACTATTATGTCAAATATAACTGTACACAGGGGAATCCATCAAAATTACTTATACATGCACACAACTATAAATGCTCATTTTCTAATGGATTCAGATTGACATGACAGTAAACAAACTGTCTGAAATCATAAAGGCAGATTTACATATGAACAAACATGCAAAATGCAGATTACCAGACTTGACCAAATCAACTTCATCTGTGAATTAACCATAGGGGCTTGCCGTTTGTCAAAAGCACTTTCCAAACTCCAAAAACAAAAAAAAAGAAGCATCTGGGCTCATCTGACTGGATGTAAATAGCTCAACCATCAGAACTTTAAAACGCAGAAGATTTTTAGCTTATTTTACTACAGCCCTATGCATGCATGTTTTACATATATTTGCCATTCATATTTAATAAAGCTTTTAGAACACAATGCAATACCTAACTGCATTATGAGGGGATGTCAATACCATACTATTACTTAAGACATCAATTTTTTTCATTTATGTTTTTCAGAAAAAGCCAAGACAATCTGTTAGATACCCTTTTATTCACCACCAATGCTATAAGCTGCAACCTTTGCCAAAACAAAAAAGTAATACAGGAAACATGCAAACAGTAGAGCATTGTACTTGTGCACTATAACACAGTACAGTCAAGAGGCACAAGAAATGTTGTACTTATGTTTAAGGATATTAAGATTAAATGATCTTAATTATCCAATTTAATATTGATGTTTAACCTACAAGGAAAGGAACATGCTGGATTTGTACACAAATGTTAATACCACCATACTTTTTAATTTTTAGGTATACATTTAGGCAATGTCTAGCTGGTGTTAACATCGACGTGTACTACAGCTGTGAAATTTGGCTACTGCGCTTTCTGTACCGCTCGGGAGATATAACTAGGCTGCCCAACATCTGCAATGTACCCACTTCCAGTCCAAGGCTACCTCCCAGTAACAAATCTGAACATCTGAGCTTCCGACTTGGGTGTGTCGAATTTAAAGGGCTCGTATCAACAAATGGAAAAATTTCCATTCGCAAAGACGTACAACTGACATTGTAGCTTGTGCAACACCCTCACTGAACCTTTGCGGATTTTGCTTTTAATACCAATAGCTCCATCCTATTATTGCACTTGCTGTCTGGAGAAATAGCGGACATATCTTTTAATTTACCCCCGGGTGTTGTACACTACAGGAGCTGTTGTACAACTTCATATCCCCACGCTCTCACGGGGCTTTTAAAATGTTTTCACGGCTCTTGCCCCCAAATCAGGTCGATTCCGCTCTCCTTCAAGGATTTCTGTCCACATGCATTCATTTCATTACTCTCAATTAGGCCGATATTTTATCACCGTAAGCCACTTGTTTACTCTAGCCGCACAGACTTTCTGTTGAATCTTCCATACTTCGCCTGAAAACACACGCAGCCCCGGCTGAAAGGTCAGCTATTAACGCCCGAATTGTGTCACACGATTCCATCACCCTGCCAAGCCATTCGGATGCCGAAAATATTGAGACTGGCCAGTTGAATTGTAAAAGCCACATCAGTAATCCAAAGCCCCCTGATCGATAAACTCTGAAGTGATCGCTTCCGCTAAACTGGCCGCATCCCCAGCGGATTATGCGCAGGGCCCCCTGGTAGGCCTTACCTTTTCCTGCGTTTATCCTCCTCTCTGGTGCACAAACACCACAAACCCTGCTCGGAGCAGCCCAGTCCCCCCCGTCCTCCGCTCTGGCTTTTCCAATCCCTGTTTTCACTCCTTTCGTTTATTTCGACTCCCTTCTTTAATTACATGTTTCCGTTTCTCTTCCGGGACACCTTTACCTGACGGCAAGACCCTCTTGTACGGGGAAAAAAGCCGTTTTTCCTGTCTTCTTCCCAGGTATTAAATCATTTTAATCCCCGTTCTCCATACTACCCACATCTCTAATGGCGCCGAGTGGGAGACTAGAGAAGCCAAAATAAACCTTCTCTGGGAGGAGGGGGGGGTGATGATGTCACACGCCACCTGGTTCCGCCGAAGATGCTGATTGGACGCGTCTGTGGGCACCTCTCACTGGCCTATCAGAGGCCAGGTCTTTCGTTGCTAATAGTAAATGATTCCTTTACGGTCGCTTTTCAGGGAACGATAATAATGAAACTGTACCCTATGATCGCCGTGTTGGCTCAGGGGATTAAGTTACACAGTCATAAAATGTACAACAGGCATGGAGCCACAATGGTGCCAGTTTCATAACACCCTCTCTCCTATTCGGTAAACCAGTGACCGTGGAGAAGTGACAGGATGATGTCATCGCTGCAGTACCGTACTGAGCATGCAGTAAAAAAAAAGCCATTTTAGACATTAAACATAACTATTGTGAAATTCAGTGCAACTTTGCTAAGTTTTATAATGAAGCGGCGTATTCCTTTTTTCAAACTTTTTTTTATTAGAGTGTTTCTTGAAATTTGATTTTTTTGATAATGCAATTTTCGAAAACTTAAACGTTTGTTGTTTACATTCACAAATTAAAAGCTCCATAAGTAAATACAAAATAATAACATAAACATTTCTCCTATCGTAATCAATAACTTTTAGCCAAAAATGTGACAGTTCTGCGAATGACAAAAAGGTCCAGTAGTAAGAATAAATAACGCATTCATGCAGTTTCCTTTTGCAAATTGAATATTTCTTGAATTTACTCAGAACACTTATAACAATAATAACAATAAGCAAAAACAGTCACAAGTAAAACTCCTTTGTATTTTTTAAGTCATAGAATAAGACGGGAAGGACAAAAAAGTAGTCACAATATCTGACTGTATTTGACTTACAAGACTTCGTGTTGGATCATGAAAAAATGTAAAAACCATATAATATTCAAGGGCATTTATTTTCAGAACATCACAAGAACCACAAATAATAGGAGGCTATTCATCCCTCTGTATTCATGTGGTTAATTTTCTCTACAGTCTCATAACCAGTATTGATTGAAACAATGAACCAGTTTTTGCTGAATTTCTCTAATCTCATCAGCCGAGATGATGGTAATTTTAAAATATTATTTCCGCAATAGTCTTCACATGCATGCAGCAGCTGAGCACCCTGAGCACTGGAACCCCACAAGGCTGCTGTCTGAGTCCAAGGTTGTACTCCCTGTTCACTCACGACTGCACGGCAAGACACAACAATAACTGCATCATTAAGTTTGCGGATGACACCACTATAAGAGTCCACTTACAGGGAGGAAGTCGTGCAGCTGCTTAGGTGGTGTCATAGCAATAACCTCGACTTGAATGTAAATAAAAACGAAAGAGGTAATAGTGGACTTTCGGAGACACAGGTCACACACTCACAGCCCACTCAGTATTGATGGAACAGAAGTGGAAACAGTCACCAGCTTTAGGTTTTTGGGAATTCACATCTCTAAAGATCTAACCTGGACTGTGCACATGGACTCTATCTTGAAGAAGGCTCAGCAGCGCCTTTATTTCTTGTGGTGCCTCAAGCAATGGGGAATCCCAGTACCTGTGTTAGTGAACTTTACCACTGCACCATCGAGAGCATCCTCACCAACGGGATCACTATGTGGTACGGCAACACCTCTTCTCGAGAGAGAAAGGCACTGCAGAGAATGGTCAATATGGCCCAGAAGATCATTGGCCGTGGTCTCACCGAGATTAAACAGCTCTATGAGGACCGCTGCCATGGTAGAATTCTGGCCATCACAGAGGACAGTCACCACCCCGGGCATGAGCTCTTCACCCCACTGCCCTCAGGCAAGAGATACAAGAGCATACGGACACTTAGCACTAGATTCTTCAATAGCTTCTATCCCCAAGCAGTGCGATTGGCGAACACATTTAGCCATGCCCCTCGGACCACACCTACACCATCTACCTCATTATGATTTCTTATTTATTGCGCATCTCCAGTCATTGTTTACATGTCTGCATTGTTTACATCCAGACTGTTTACTTGTTTGCTTGTACATTGTCTGCTGTTTGTATATTGTCTTGATGCACTGTCTGCACTTTGGCCCTGATGTGTTTGTATCTCTGTGTCTGCGATGGACTGGCATCCCATCCAGGGTGTACCCTGTGTTGTGCCCGTTGTGCTCTGGCTGCCCCTCAACCCTTGGCCAAGTCACCACTCTAGGTAAGAATCTACATTGTATCAGAGTTGCATTTGGCAAAAATGCAGGGTGGGTGTATAATAAATGTAAAATATGAAATAATTTCATGCAAGCGGCAATTTGACAAATTGCGCATATCTGCTTCATTAACCAATATCATTACATTAACAAGCAATGATACTTGAATAATCTTTCTCTTGGATGTCTAAAATGACACCACCTTGCTGATTGGAAACACAGAAATTAATATTTGACTAAACGCTTGCAAAAGGGACATCATCCAGTAAATGAGCAGCTTGAAAGTAAATGTATATAACTCACATATAATTATTAAAAAAGTACAATCATCAGGTTTGCATTTGCAGACGGAAAGCTGTGGCGTCCACTGTGTAATTTATTTTCGTTTGCTAGTAACACTAGATTACCGAAGTGTATTGCTGCCACCAAGGGTAAACAATCTGGAGTTATCTCGTAATTACGACAGACCAATCAATGAGCTCCCGTAGTACATACAGCATACAGTATGACAGACACTTAAACGGATACTTTTTTTTTGCACAGTCGTTAACACTTCCGTCTTGCTTCAGCAAATATGGCAGCGTACTTGTGCCGGGTGAATCACATTGCCCTCCACGTTTTAAACGGGGGGAAAACAGTTCACGACCTTGTCACTAAATTCAAATTTAATTTATTTGCAGCGAGATTAACCGAGAAATCAAGGCAGCTTGCTCTCAGAAAGGGATCGGCTGTTTTCATCGTTAATGAAAGACTGAATCAACCTTCTGAGGGGGAAGAGACAAACGGACAGACACGATCGGTGCTGCCTCAAAGTGGTGCAAAAGAGAAAATTCGGGTCTTTACTCTTGATCACGGTAGCATCAGAAACCAGACTAGATCCGAATTTCTGTACGACGTACAGCCTTCATATGTCGTTGACACGGCGTGCAACGTGTGTTTTGAAGTGGAGGATGTGGAGAGCTCGAACCGCCGTCTGTCTGAGCAGGGCTGTGATGTTTTGGTGCCGCCTACAGTAGTGGAAGACGACCAGGGGTTTGTGACCTACGCCGTGATTAAATCTGTCGTAGGAAATGTTTGCCACACGCTGATCGACAGGAGCAAATACGAGGGACAGTTCTTACCTGGATTCCAGGAGGTTCAAAACAGTTCTCCCGTTGATGGACACGACAGCAAGATTACTCATTTCGATCACATCACCTACGCGTGTCCCAGGAGAAGTTCTGTGGAAATAATAAGATGGTATGAAAAGCACTTTGGCTTTCACAGTTTTTTCATTAACAGGTAAGGCTGAACACCCAGGAATCTTATTGTATTAAAAAATGTAACTATAGATTTTTTTTACTGCTATCCCAATCCTAGCCAGACCACGGTTACGTCGGGCAGAGTAAAATGAAGAGGCTTATCTGTACCGAAATTGGTAGACTACTTCCCTGAGAAGAATTAACGGCAAAACCCATTGAACAAGAAAATCATTATATTGAAGATAGTTACATCACAGTAAAGCAGAACTCAATTAATGAGAATTTGAAAAGCGATCGGTGTAACGTCAGAAAATACAGTATTAGGTTATCCATACGTAGATAAAAACTACGTTCTGTGGTTGCTAGGTAATTCAGGAAGCATGTATAATTATTATGTCACAGTGCCCATTACCACTTGATAGACCGTTAACTACACCTGTTCATGTATTACGAACTACAATGTTCTGCAATATGTGCATGATTGGTTTTATTTACTCACTACATGTTGTTTACCTAAGCAATTCGCTTCATGTTGGATTTAAACGCAATTGGCAATTAAATATTTAATATGCTTAACGGTTTTATATAGTTCTTTAATCGTGAAGTGTACATTGTTCGTAATTGTGGGGAATTTTAAGGTTAAAGCTGCGGTATTGTACTTTCTTGATTGGCGATTCATGTAAATGTACCCCCTGTGTTTTTTAACTTTGGAATGTTCAGTGATGTAACCCGCCCAATGTAACATTTTGACATTTGGTATGTCAACGTTTTGACCGCCTCACAATTTCTGCAACTAGGTAGGTGAAAGGATGTCCATCTGTGTGTTTTTCGGCAGGAATGAGGATGCGGAAGAGGGCTATGTCCTGGACCAAAATGGGATAGGTCTTCGGCTGAGAGGAATGCAGTACTGGAAGTGCAACAGAGCTGGGATGAAGCCCTCTTCCACTGATATGAAAGAGCCAGACTGCAAATTTGTTCTTGCAGAGTCCTTGCCTCAGGAAGGTAGCAAGCCTTTGGGTCTTAGGGTCTTGGTATGCTTGATGCACAGAAGAGAGGTTCATTCAGAATGCTGTACTAGTTTAAAGATTTTAAGATGATAAATGAGAACCAGTAGTAATGTTATCTTCTAAGTCTTCGTTTTTGTTTTGACCATCTGAAGCCATAAAATCTGAACGGATTCTATACAGTACCAAACAGCTAAACATGTGATTGTGTGTGATGCCCGTTTGGATTTTGAGGTCAAACAATGGAGCCCAGTGATCTACTGGATCATTGATTAAGATAGGATAGATCTAGCTTGACTACATCAAGTTCTTTGAACCAGCAGCATCCATAACGGATACCGACAAAATAGAGGATATTCTGATTCAGCTATCAGTGTAACTGTATCTGCATACTCTACACTTGACCAGCTACAGTGCGATTGGCGAACACATTTAGCCATGCCCCTCGGACCACACCTACACCATCTACCTCATTATAATTTCTTAATTATTGCAGATCTCCAGTCATTGTTTACATGTCTGCATTGTTTAGATTCAAACTGTTTACTTGTTTGCTTGTACATTGTCTACTGTTTGTTTGTATATTGTCTTGATGCACTATCTGCACTTTGTGTTTTTACACTTGTTTTAACAATCAAGAAACTTTCTGTAAGTAAGAATTCCATTTTACCAGTACACGTAGTGGTCACACATGGCAATAAAGTTCAAGTTCAAGTGACATTTTGTGCTCAGCTAAGGAGAAACCATGCATTGGTTTCAAAAAGAGAACTTGTTTTACCCAGTGGGCTGTGGGTGCCTGGAACAAGCTACCTAGCCTGTTAAAGGTGACATTCTGGCTTCTTTGGACAGCCTTTGGATGAGATCCTTGAATCGCGTTGCTACTAGCAGTCAGTTTAACCAGTTAGCCTCTTCTCATCTATAAACTGCCCTGTGCCCTCCTGTCATGTGTGCTCTTTCCAGGGAGGAACCAGGTGGACAGCTTTCTGGAGCAGCACAGTGGACCTGGGATCGCTCACGTTGGGCTGTATACTCAGGACATAGTCTCCACCGCCCACACCCTGGCGAAGGCTGGAGTGCACTTCTTCTCTCCCCCACCAGCCTATTACAGCGAGGTGGGACCTCTGCAAGAAAACACCCCTCACTCTGCAGGCAAACACTTTGATGCTTCCATCCATCCATTTTCTTACCATTACTTCCAGTTCAGGGTTGCGGGGGAACCTGAGCCTATTCAGGAGCCTAGTCAGCAGCCATATCACCCTGCAACTCGCAACTGGCAACCCACTGAAGCTAAGCAGGTGTGAGTCTGGTCAGTACCTGGATGGGAGACCTCCTGGGAAAAACTAAGGTTGCTGCTGGAAGAGGTGTTAGTGGGGCCAGCAGGGGGTTCTCACCCTATGGTCTATGTGGGTCCTAATGCCCCAGTATAGTGACAGGGACACTATACTGTAAACAGGTGCCGTCCTTCGGATGAGACGTAAAACCGAGGTCCTGACTCTCTGTGGTCATTAAAAATCCCAGGGTGTTTCTCGAAAAGAGTAGGGGTGTAACCCCGGCGTCCTGGCCAAATTTCCCATTGGCCCTTACCAATCATGGCCTCCTAATAATCCCCATCTATGAATTGGCTACATTACTCTGCTCTCCTCCCCACTGATAGCTGATGTGTGGTGAGCGTTCTGGCGCACTATGGCCGCCATCGCATCATCCAGGTGGATGCTGCACATTGGTGGTGGTGGAGGGGAGTCCCCATTATCTGTAAAGCGCTTTGAGTGGAGTGTCCAGAAAAGCACTATATAAGTGTAAGCAATTCATTATTAATTATTCTGGCAAGCAGGGCACGCCCTGGATGGGACACCATTACACAGACACTTACACCAGGGCCAATTTTCCCAGAAGCCCATTAACCTAAAAGTATGTCTTTGGACAGGGGAGGAAACCCATGCAAACATGGGGAGAACATACAAACTCCATACAGATAGTACCACAGGTCTGGCATTGACCCCAGGAACTCAGCGTAGCAAGGCAGCAATACTAACCACTAAAGCCCTGTGCCGCCACCTCGTTGCTGCTTCAATGAAAAGATGTTTAAGAATTTTCAAAACTGAAGTTCCTTTTCTCATCCAGTGTTGCATCTTTGCAAAATAATGGAAAATAAACTGCTTAGAATTCCATGTATATGCAGTACATTTATGAAAGGCAACACCAAACTCTGATGGTTTTATTCAAGTACTCTAAACAGTTAAAAAAAAAAGAAGAAAATGTGAACAAAACATTCCAAAGTTATCATCAGGTATGGCATCCCTGACCTTTAACACAAGAAAGATTACAAACAACAGGTGGCTGTTTTTCCCCTCAAGCTCATTTGGCTTCTGAAAATTTCATCTAGCCATTGCTTGAAAGAACCCAGGGCATTAACATGCCAGGCATGTTTGTTCCAGATTTGTATACAGGGTTAGTCAAAATGTTTTGACAAGTATAAATGGCAAGTATTTAACTAAAGTTTTTTCTCCTCCTCCATAGATGGCGCTGCAGTCACACAGTATCCACAATGGCGTCACCTGTGGAGAAATGTTGTTCTCTGTTATAATGAAACCCATGTAATTAATTTGTAATGAACTGTCAAAGTTGCTGGCAGCATTTTGACTAACCCTGTACAGAAGTTTTCTAAATCTTCTTCCTCTTTTTTTCCTGTGTGCGACATCTGTGGTTCGTGGTTCCCTGTTGATTTTAAAGTGGTCCATTGGGCTGATTTTCTCAGACCCGTTGAGGATTTTGAGTACTTCAGTCGGGTCCCCTCATTGTCTTCTCTGTTCATAGCTAAAGTTCTTTTGGCACGGACAGACATTCCTTTGACCTAGGAATGTGTCTGGTTGCTCTTCTCTGGACTGATTCAGACCTCAAAATTAGGTTTTAGAGGAGAATTGTGTAGTATTTTTAATCATGTGGTGCTTGGTTGTATTGTTCACTGTTCTTGCAATTTTTAAATAGTTTTTATTAAGTCGCTTGAGATCCATAATTTATCCCAGGCAACAAAATTACTCAATCAACAATCCCATCTTCTTCCTGTTTAAAATATTACACATACAGTATGTATCTATGTAAAAGACATACTGTTGCATTTAAATTGTGGATCAGGTGCGTATTTGAAAACACCTTGAATGTGGAAGTATATGCTTCATTTTGATGCAGTTGCACCGGCAGCTGTTTAGCCAGCTGGTCATCTCTCACGCTGTGTGCTCATCTGTCTTCGCAGGTGGAGAAACAGCAGGAAATTGTGGAGGCAGGTTATGACCCCCAGCTGCTGTCCCAGTATGGAATCCTGCTGGACACAGAGCTATGTGAAGACCCGTCTGACCCAAACTCCCTTTGTCAGGATACAGCCAATAAAAACAAAAGGTATCACTGGCTTCATCTGGTCGAATGACCTTTATAGTGTGCTTACTCAGGCTCTTCTTCGTTTGCTGTTGGTATTTTCGGTATGCAGTTGTGCATTAATTGTTAAGGAAAGGCTGACCATTTAGAGAATTCCCCTTCAGGATTTAAGTTTTATTTCTGTGAGACCCATTTTTTTCATTTTAAGAATTAGACTTAATTTATTTCTGACATTTCTGTTTTGCTTTTTTTACAAGTGATAAAGCAGCCTACTGTTTGTAGGCCAGCAAGTTTAAGTACATTACTTACGTTTTACTTTTCTTGTTGGTTTTTTCTTCTCACCTGCTTAAATTGCTAGCTGGAATGATTTCCTAGTTATTGCAATAGCAATCGGTTTGTACAAACGCACACCAGTTATTAGAAGAATGGCTTAAATCTATTGTTGTAGAAAACCACCATTAACCATTAACATTATTGATGCCTTCTTTCTCTGTATTGCAGTCCTATTGCCATTTCCAAGTATGGATTGTTTGTAATTGCCTATCAGACCATTACTTACTCCCAGTGTTTGAGGCGTTGCCAGGAAAATTAAACTAGAATGAAGCAGCACTGAAACAGATGGTCCTGCCCCCCATGAAGGCTATTCATCGTCTCTGTTTATCTTTACCTACAGATACCTCCTACAAGTTTTCACGAAGCCCATTTTTGCTAAGGACACCTTTTACCTGGAGCTGATCGAGAGGAAGGGGGCGTCAGGTTTTGGAGAAGGGAATATCCGAGCACTGTGGAGATCTATGCAGACCTACATGGATAGTGAGGGGCGTGGAGAGCAGAAGAATCCTGGACCTACGACTGTACAGAACTAGGAGTTCACCTATTCAGTTAATAAAGGATTACTTATGTAATGTTTGTAGGCCAGCAAGTTTAAGTACTTGCTTAATATACATAACATAATGTATATTATGTTATGTAAAACGCTTTTAAAAGACACCTTTTGATATTTCTCATTGATGCAAAACTAAAAGATATAAATGATTATAAAAAATATATATTATAGTTTATTTTAATTTGCAACCTCAGGTTGGTCTGTCTTTTCTTGCATGTTAGGGTCATTTTATTATGTACACAAAAGTGTTGGGGAGCTTTGGATATCAAATGGATTGGGGACAAAGGGTTGTACACGCAAAAGTACCAAAACAATTTGTATGAACTTTCTTCCAGGTTAATATCAATTATTTTGATTTGTAAATTAATAAAGTTTGCAGGTGATGCCACAATATAATCCCCCCCCCCCGCAAAATGAAAAATATATAGTAAATTATATATGAAGGGGAACACCAGGCTTGAATATTCTACTTATAAAAAGATATAGGCATACAGAATGGTAGAAAATGTAGTAAATATGTAGAATGTATAGTTCTACTAAACTTATAATTGAACAATGTACTAGTAAGTCTTCATTTAGAATATGTTGGTCCTCTCAATACAAAAAAAAGATATTGATGCAATCTCATCAAATACATTTTGCAAACTAAAGAATATCCTGCACTGACAAGCTAATAACAGTGTGACATAAACCAGAGGGCACAAAATGGAAGTTACAGGGAAGTGACTTTGAATATGAGAACAGGAGACATTTCTTTATGCAAAGCATTGTGTTGTATGGAACAAGTTACCCAGCCATGATGCTGGAGGTGATCTCTTGGCTTCTTTGCGAAATATCAGTAGATGAATTAACTACATTAATACCAACCACATAAGTGTAACTGTCTATTGTCTTATCTTCTGTCCTATTTATATACTGCACCTGAGTAACTAATGAGAAACACTTTTCATTATACTATGCACCTGTGTAAGTTTAATGACAATAAAGTTGAATTGAATTGAAGTTAGATGGGCCTAAGTGTCTCCTTACATTGATCATTTTTCTAATGTACTACTGACTAGCAGATGGGAGTCTTGTTTTTAGAATTTTGATCCAGATGTAGGAATGCTCTTTTGCAGTATTTTAATACCTGAATTACTTATTGATTGAGGAATTGGTTTAATCTATGATTTAATATCTTAAAACATACTTATGGAAAAAATCTCAAAGTGAATTTTAAATCATTCAAGTAGTATGTAACATTGCATAAAAGGTGTGAACTCAGTATCTCCCCTAATCTAAAGCATCTTGCACTAGATATTACATAAACATTTAATTTTTCATAAAGTTGAAGGAAGAACAAAACAACAGCAGACTGTAAACCAAATAACCATTTTTACTTTATTACCCTGTACAAATCAAGTTTAGGCTGAATCAAGATATCCATGGAAAAATGTATCCAATATTTAATGCAGCTAGTTACCTTTTCTTCAGCCATTCAACCGATGCTCTTGGGTAACTTGTCATCAGACTTTGTGCTTGGGAATAAACCTGCCCTCTTATGTTCATCGGTCATCCAATAGTCTCTTTTTAGGATTAGTCCTTCACTAAGGTTTTCAGTGCTCTGATGTCAAGAACCTATATAAATCAGTCTTTTCCAGCTTTTGTCCTCCCACTTTCATGATTTGGCGGTATAGTTGCGTAAATGGAAGGCACCAAAGCTTTATAAGATTTTGTTGTTTTGAAGGAACACTGATTCACAGCTCTTGCAGCCATAAAGGCCTGTGAATTATAGAAGCTTACAGCTGTCAACAAGTGGTTTACACCACAAAATTCCAATGCAGCATAAAATCTGTAAGGCGCCTCCCTTTCAAAACCGGCAGAACAGAAACTCTTCACTTTAAACTGGAGCAAATATAGTATCAGCAGTAGTACAGGTAGGAGATAAGCAGATTTTCTTGCTCATGTTGCTTTCAATGTTTTAACAGACTTCACACTAGACTGCACACTAGAGCATCTTCTTATTTGTTAATTGCTGCTTGTTCAGCAAATCCCAAACATTGCACAAAAGGTGAACTTAATATCCCACCCCTAATGTAAAGCAGACTTATCTGTGGCACAATTTAACAGTACTGGTAAAGCACAAGAAATATAGAAAATTCAGCAAATTTAAGTGCACCAAAGAGCATATAATGTCAGTGTTATTTGAGAAGAACAAGATATCAACATTGTGCCATGGTATTAACAACCACTTTACTTTGAACTAAGTAAAAAAAACACCCCTTAACAAAGAAGTGCATTTTTTCCTTAGCATTACGTTTTCTTCCGTTAAAGAAATAGGCAACCACATTATTAACAGACTTATCAATTGTAAGAGAAAATTTTTTGCAGACAACAGTCCTGCTCACATAAATAGTCTCCAAGAAACGTGCAAGCTGAAGCAAGTATAATATATATTCTTTCTTTGTTCTGATTAGGTGTCGTGAAACAAAATATCACTAGCTAAACATTAATTTGGTTCATTTAAAAAAGAAAATATCAAAGGCCGCAGAAACTTTATTTTCCCTTTTCCATTTAAATAAATGTAAAAACAAGGCAAAATAGTGCAAGAGGTAATGGCATGATTTGTTTACCTAGGTTATTAACAGATGGTGGCCGCAGACTTGCCACCAAAGGACAGAGTGGGCCTGTGTTCCTTCCAGTAGTTTTACTGGTATAACCAAACCTAACCAAAACATGGCACTGATAGAGTCTTGTTATTCTAACGTGTCTCCCCTCCCAAAACAAAACAAAAAATAAAATCTTTAAAAACCTCTCTGTTCACTAAGGCAGCACCAAGCCAGGCTTGACTCCCCAGACCAGGAATCAAAGTCCAAACTTTTCCATTTGGGCAAAATTTAAAACACACCAAAAAACAAACGGTAGAACGATCTGCACGTGCCTTTTATTTTCAGGGCCCTGAATCCTCTTTTTCTAGTTCTATTCTCTTCCTCATTTTCAATGGATTATCGCTTGCCCAGTAGAGGCCGCCTGAAGCTCTATTCCCCAGTCCCCACGGAGCCTCACTGCATCCGGATCGGAGAGGCCTGGGAGCTGCGGGCATCCCCATCGGGTCTCAGTGCTGCGGGCCGTGCCTGGGGAAGCGGCGGCACTTCGTTGTCCGATGACTCCGAGGGCTCCTGGACCAGGTTCTCGTACTCGCTGCTGCTGTCCTCTTCGTCTTCCTGCCCGGCGGCTCGCCTGTCCGAGGAGTCAGTGCTGGAACCGTCTCCGTTTCCTGAATACTCCGCGCCGCCAGCCCCGCCGAGCGCGAGGCCGGGGGGCACGTGGCCCGAGGAGCCCACCGCCTGCGGCCGGGGCAGGAGAGCCGTGCTGGGCTCGGGGCAGGGCACTGCGGGGCTGTCTCGGGGCACCACCTCTGCGTACGGGGGCGGCACATCTGAGGAAAGGGGCTCCTCTGGGTCGGGGCGGTCCGACGCAGCAGTTGGGAACGCCTCCCTGGAGTGGAGAGGAGACTCGGAATCTTCCACCGGAGCTTGTCCTCCGACTGCTGCAGGCCCTGCTGCTGCCTCCCGAACTCCTGGGAGAAGAAAAACAAAAGTAGAATTGTATGTCGCCTGGTATTTTGTAATATCTCTGGAAGTTTATACAGTAGAAGCCTGGTTTGTGGCTTACACTAAAGCCAATCCCTTGGGTATTACGTGTAAACCATCAGATGACTTATATATCTTACTGTGTCCACTCACCAGACAGACATTTCCAGGAAAAAAAAACAAGAAATGGAATATTCTGTCCTGTCGTCAAAGATCAATTTCTCAAGCTGTGGCCCTGCACATTGGCTGAAAATGCTGGTATGTGTCTACCAACTTGGATACAAATTGAGAAAATATAAAAAATTATACATATTTTTTTTGTGAAGACAGGCCCTGGAACGATAATGTTCGCATACCCAGAAAATTTATAAAACAATTATTAGAAAAAATATTAACCATCAAGTGAACTAAAAACCTCTCCTGGCCTTCAGAGAGCGCATACATGGATTACACCAACACTCACCAAAAGTTCTTTTGAACATGTGAAATCAGTTTGGGTTATTTTTTCCATAGTTCTTTCACTCAATGTGAGCAAAGTTTATTCATCCAGAAATAAAACACAGTGAAACAGAAGAAGGTACTATTCATTTAATTATGAATATATCCTACAGACAACAGCCAACTGTCGCAAGTTTTTCAAAACAAGCTGGCCCCCGGCTGACATAATGAGACTTCAGAAATCCATTCCATACTTACAAAGCAAGTATATTAAACCAAAAAATCAAATCTTTTGCAAATGTTTTCAAATATTTTGCATCTAAAGCCAGAAAAACACAGTGTATGCAAATACTTACTCCTCTCCTCCTCTGCATTTTTCCTTTTCCTGAGAGCTATGTGCTGTTTAAGTTTGTTCACTTCTTCTTGAATATTCTCTTTCACACGTTCACTCTGCTCCACTTCTGCACACACTGCCTGTAACACATGATAAAATCCCTATGATTTCATTTCATGAACTCAAGAACCTGATGAATCTGGGCTAAAGAATTTCAGGATTCTAGAATGCCAGACTGGAAACTCTAACTGAATGAGAGAGTAGGGAGCACGATTCCAGGATTGGGTCATTCACAAATAGTAAATGACACTTTTACAGAAGTTTAAAAGCCAAATGAATATGTACTTAATGCAACCAATAACTATGGTTCAGTGACACATTCCTGTAAGGGTTTGTACAATACACATCTCTTTCTCCAACCATAACCTCCAGACACTGCACACAGAATGATCTCCTCATACATAAAGCAGAGGTACTAATACATTTATTTTGTGCCTCTAACAAAACAATCTTAGTGCTTATTGCCTATTGCTTAATTTTTTATCAAGAACTTCAGGATTTTATACTTTAGATACACCACCACTTTACCTGGACTTTCTCTTGTAGCGCACTGTACACTTGGAAGATGGTTCTGATATCCTTCATTACCCCATCCTTGTCAAAGAATTCAGCACTGCAAGAAATTCATATCTTTAATTAAATTCATTAAATAACTTGTGCGTCAAATGTGGATTTCAGAAGTGCCTTTCGAAAAACAGAAGCTGCAGGCTAAAAACCTCAAGTCGAATCAACAAGAGGACAGCAATCCACATCACTGCCAATTTTTGTTATTTTTAGAACTGTGTGAAATATGGCAAGCTGTTTACTTAGTGTTACAACATACTAAACATAAACAAACAAACTTTTTAGTTTAACAGTTTTGACTTTGTTGTCTCACATTTCCTCTTAATTTCCTTACATTTTAAGTCCTTCCTTCTTAGCAATCTGTGCTTAGAACTACTACAACTCAGTTTAGGACAATCTCAAACCCAGCCGACACCTAAATAGAAATAAATGACACAGACATAACATCCAAAACCTCCACATACTTGTGTTGGTACAGTTAGTTATGCATGGGAGGGCCTGTCTGTGACCACTCTGAAGTGCACTGGCAGGGGTCTCAACCACAGGCTGAGCTCTATAATCAGGGGGTTGAGTCTTGAGCTTGAGTCATGTCCTGCTGGGTAACTGTGAGCGGGTTTGCTCAGACTGCTCCAGGGGCAGGGTGGGACTGGACAGCCAGGGCTCTCTGGGCTCTCAGTGACACAGTGACCCCTGCTGTCTCCTGGACACTTGTAAGCACGTGGTGCTGTCGGTGGTGTGGGAGCCTGCCCTCCAGTCAGCACTGAAACTGTCACAGGATCGTGTTGCCTGTGACGTGTTAAAGGTTGAAAGGTTTGAAGAGGGGGGTGTCTGCCTACACTTCCTCATTTTCACTTGCTTGCGGTTGTGGGGATCATAGCTCAGAGCCAAAACGTGACACACCATTGCCTATTCAAAATTTGGAAGGTGTAACAAAAATCATTTGTTATTTCAAAATTTGAAAAAGAAAACTGAAGTGAGCAATGATGCAGGAACTGATGACCCTTTAGTTTGGGCAGAACATTTATTTGATCAATCAATGGATGGCAATATTACCTATTTGGATCTCCAGACAATTTTGCACAAATTACTGTATGACTTTTTCTGCACTCTGCTTACTAACTATGCATGACTGAATTAGATTTCAGCAGTCATTCTAAAAAGAACTTAGAAACCTTACAAGCTACAATAAATGTGCAAGCGACTACCTGAGCAAAAAAACTAAGCTCTGTGATTTTAACTTTTGTATATTACCTTTATTTTTCCTACCTGAATATAACTTCCTCACCCTTACTCAATGGATAATCACACTTTGCACGAGCTAAAAGAATGTCCACACATTTGGCTGGAGTAAATTTAACATCAGCTCACCCGTGCTCCTTGATCACCTTGGCGTAATTCCAAGATGTGTTCGGTACGGATGAAACCTTATACTCCTGTTGGCTTGTATTGCCCAGATTGGGAATGGTAAGTGAAACCCTCTGATTGTACCTGCTGAATAAAAACACAAGTAAAAAATAAACAGAAATTGGAGTTTAACATTTATTGTGGTCTCTTTGGGAATGTTAATGAATGCTACCCTTTATAACTTAGCCTTTCTTGTACTTTACAAGCACCTTGAACAGATTCTAAATCAACATGTGAATAGTCTTCATTTATACATGGAAGTAAAAAGAGAAATCTGTTGAATAAAATCACACAGACGCAGTTATAATCAGACTATCTTCCTGCTTCATGCTATTGCTAATTTCATTATGATTGAGTATAAAGAAAAGACCCATGAAGTGGAGTCAGAATGCAAGCCTTAAGATAAATATAGATTTTTCTTTTTTTACACAACGAGTGTGATAAGAGTAAATCAAATGCTTAGAGCCTAGGTCACTGAGTAAGGTTTTAGGAGTAAAAATGTGCCTGACCACATGTTCTCTCCACCAGTGTCCTGTAATATTGTGCCAAAGCCACAAGAGACACAGAGTGTGCTGCCCAAGCTGGTAAGCAGAGCATTTAATCTCCCCGGGCAGAGTTTCAACAGCTCCGCGGCCCTGTCATTTTAATACATGACATGCAAACTCAAAGGCCAATGCTGCATATAACTAAGGTGGTTTAATTAAGATCACAGCTGGCACAAACGGGATGCGAGATAGCTCCAAGGATTGTGGAAATAAACAAGGCATTTGGCTTCCACTGAAACAGCAGCAGCAAAAACACAATGCAGATAGAAAATGCCTTTTATATTTGTTACTGCAAAAATTGAACATATTTTAGCATTAAGCTAAAACAAAGACCCTGAAACGCCCGATTTGTTTTCTATATGTCACTTAACTACTAAAGAGCAATGACAGAACACACTTGTACTGAAAATCAAGACCTCTTTTTTTAACGGGCAGACAACAAGGCAAGACTGCCTGGGGCCAAGGAAGTGACTACTAAAAGAATCGGGTGACGCTTTCATAACAAGCTGAGACCCGATATCATCATCGCCCTGCCAAACCCTCAGAGGAGGCCTCCCACCCGCTCTCCTACGTTGCTCGGCCACAGGGCTTGAGTAACAGCTCATAAAATAAACACCATCTGACCGGAGCGTCTGCCTGACGGCAGGTGGACCGGGCCCTGGCCGGCGGCCTACCTTCGGTTTGGCCGGAACAGCACGTACTCGAGCGCATGCGTGGAGTTGTTGGCAGTGGAGATGAAGCTGAAGAGAAGGAAGACGAGGTCAGGCACTCCCAGAATGCGGGTCAGCTGCTTGTGGATGATCTGCTCCCTGAAGGACATCTGCTGCTGCGTGTTTCTCCTGAAGCGGTACCAACCGATGACATTCTGCAGGGACACAGCAGTGTCAGCAAACACAGCCTGCTCCTTCACTGCGTATCGCCCACCTGAAGTGAGCAGAATAATACATCTCATTTCAAAACCAACACGGCTCACAGCAAGTCAAACCTGCTGCGGTAATGCTGTTTGGACAATTTAACTGCATGTCCCTTGAGGGCAATGTAAATATGTCCTATAGTAGGGCAAAAGTGTAATTAATGCACTTCCAAGAACATTAAGTGATATCCAGGAATGATAATGATCTTCTTTCATTTCTTATTTTAATTGCATACATATCCTAGTCATTTTGTCATTGATTAATCTCGCAATCTTCCATCATTTATCATAAAAGGTTTCATTTTATATCACAAATACAATAACAACAGCAACCTGCACATCAGAACAGATTATGAAGCAAGTCAGATCATTTCACAGATAAGATGGCTGTGATTCAAAACACCTTCAGGGGATATCATTGAGACATAAAAAAAAAACTTACTTTTCTTCTGTCTTTGAGAATTCTGTTGAGATTCTCTTCATTAACTTTACCTGCGTAGTCATAAAAGCTAAAATAAAAAGTTAAAAGGAAGTAAATATTTAGTAAATATTTTGTTAAAGGGTTGACAACATTACTTGCCACATTTCAGACAGGTCACTCATAAGAACTAGAGCTGTACTGAGAATACAAAAACAGATAAGAGATAATGACCTTTTGGATGAACATTTAGACAAAAATCTAAAAGGGGTCTGAAAGTCACCCAATGTCAGACCCCTGATTTATTAAAATAGTTTCTTAAATCCCATTCAAGAAGACTTAAAAAAAAACTTATCAACTGTTAAGAAAACAAACGTGCTTCCTTACCTAAAAAGATGTGCACATGGCTCATGATTATGGACTTCTACAAAAGAGTGAATAAAAAAAGATTATACATTTTTCCTATGCTGGATCCTTTTCGCACGAAGATACTTACATTCCTACAGTACAGGCTTTTTATACAGTTACATCCTATAACTCACAATTCCAACTCTGTGAAGTAAGATTAAATGAAAGATTAACAAAAGGACACAAATTGTTTAAGGAGCTTTGTCAGGTACTTAATCTGAACTCATGTACCATTTCATTGTAAGACCACCTACATGCACAGGTTCCAATATTGCATTATCGAATCCATTTGACATTGAATTGGATTTGATATTAACATATACACAGGAAAGAACACACATTTATTAGGCACTGGATCTTGGATCTTACACAGGAATACTTTATTGCTGCCATACAGAACCAAATTCTTTGAAGCATCTGTCTCCAGAGAAATACAGATGGATGATGCAGAGCAGCACAACCTGGCAATGCACCTGTCAGCTGTACTGTACCAAGCAGACATGTGGGACTTAAAATACAAGCTTCAAGTGACCAAAATCTATCAAATAAGGGGCTCCTGGACAACAGCCAGGGTGTGAATTGCTCTTTAATAGCTTAACTCAGTGCATTAGTATCGAACGTGCTCTCTCTACTTGACGGAATCTAATCAGCAGTCAGGCATCTCGGACTTAATTCAGTGCCTGTTAAATCTGCCACACAGTTGTACGTGTGACTTTGCCTTTTAAAACTACTATAGTGGATCCTAAAGCACTTCTTATGTGAAACGCCTGTAAATGTCCCTGCTTCAATACTCTGTCATAATGTATTTTAAAGTAGTTCAAAGAAAGTTATTTCTAAGAGACTGCTGAAAATGCTATAGCCAGACTTTTTTCCACTCGTGGCACAGAATAATTACCTGTGAAAATGCCCCAGTCTACCACCCTAGTGGTCTGGACTGAAGTACTCATTTACTCCTTTCACCATGTGAGCTAGTCTGTAGTCCCTACAGCGCAAGGAGGCAGAATCTCTAACCATCAGAATTCAATGAGTAGCAGTAGCCACCAGGAAAACCTGTTAGAGTATGTCACCTTAGTGAACAGAATGTATTATTAATATATTGGTTTTCTCCTAACAACTGTTCCCCTTTCCTGCATACAGATTTTCTATTTAAATATTAAACTGGGATTTAAACATTTCAGGAAATGTGCTTAAAGCACTACATTAACACTAAAGGTCTTACCTACTACCTGCAGAAACTCTGTGTTGCTGATTTGTGAATCACTGATGCTGAAAGTCTCCTCTTGTCTTACTTCTCCCAACAGAAATCCTTCCTTCAAAAACACAAACAGTTCCACACTGAAATGGCTATTCTGAACAGAACATGTCATACATATTAGATCCGCACAATCTAGTATTTGATAAGAAAAATGGAGATACAGAAAAGCCTGACAATTTAAATGATGACTTAAATGACCTGTTTGGTAAAATTGGAAATTCATTTTACAAGGCACTACAGATTCTGCATTGAATTTTTATTTGTATTTAGTGCAAAATCACATGAAAATAATAATTGTTGAACATACAAGCTAGTCATAGGATTTGTACTTTTTTTTAACAAAAACGGCTTTCAAACTAACAGCACTGATATTTCAGAATACGATGTAAATGGTTCTGAGTGCACAGTCACGCATGGTGCATCTAACTTTTTTATTCCAGTTAATGTCGAAACGCTTCTTCATCCCCCAAAGCCCAAAGAAAAACCAGGAGCTGAAACCAAAACAAAATTCTCTTTTCTAAAGATACGTAAGCATGGAGGTAGCCGTCTGTGACCATTATACATTTTATGTCAAATTTCCAATATAAACTAGTTATCATCCTAATCGGATTCGTTTTGGCATGATCCGGCAATATTGTAATACCGTGTTATGTGTAATAATCAGCATACTGCCTACACTAAAACGGAAGCAATATTAAACCTTCGCTGTTCCGGTTTTGTATAAGGAAATGATAAGATTACAGTGTTTTAAGACAGGTACAATCAATAAAGTGGAACTCAAAGCTGTGTTCATAATATACAAACTTCTAGGAAAATATATAATTACCATTCCTTATTAATCAACATACCTACGTCATGATCCCGTAAATACAAAAACAATCGCCTAATACAAACTCCTAAAATATAACTACTTAAGTTTAAAGACTTCACGAACACAAAAATTAACCTCTTTGTTGTCAAATGAACGCTGTATGTACGTCTTTAAAACAAAAAATTGACATAGTGAAATATATTAACTCGATTTTGCCTTTTGTACCTAATAATAGGTAGATACCAGATATCCAAAAATCACAACTACAGTAATAATATTTTAAAAAGCTTTTATTAAATACCTAAAAATAAACAACAATGGTAAAAAAACATGCATATTCAACAAATCGTGTATAGTCCCAAACCACTAGTAACTTCAGTAAATTACCCTAGACACCTACAGAGATCAACAAGCATTAACCATGACACTATCTTTACAGATACAGGAAGATGTCACTTTGAGAAGACCTGATAGTCATCGACAGTGAAATACAACACCATAATCACACTTAAGTACCACGTCCTATCAGGATACACTCTCTGTTATTCATATCAAGCTTTCTGGAATACATACGTGATCTGAGTTGCTGTTGGCACTGTGATAACACACAGAACTGAAGGTATAACCCGAAATGGAAGCCGCCATGATGGAAACATCCCCACCTATCCCACAACTCATCGCGGCCTCTCAGCCCTAGCAGTCCCTAACATCCGGTGTTGTCATAGGGGGGTGCTGGGAATTGTAGTTATTCGATTATGGGATTGAATTTGAATGTTGTCAAAATCTCAGAAAAGAAAGTAAATCAAAAATGCAAATTACAAAACCTCATTAACTGATCTATATGATCGCCAAAGGTATAACAGAATTAGAATTTAAGATCTGGAATTTAGATTGAAAGTTAATTATTACCAAGGTAGGAAACGTAAAACAGCCTTGCTATTGTTGTCGTTATTACTCATGGCGATAATCAGTAGGTGACAATATGGATGATTTAAAATGAAAATGGTATGCATTTTATAATACGTTTTAACAGCCCCCTCTAAGTTTACAAGCTGTATCCGCCCGTCTCAAATATGGCTGTTTGGAAGTCCTCTAAGAAGGTGTGTTTCCTGTCAATCAATACGTTTTAGTTTCCTCAGATTTCATGGATTCTACGGGTTGCGCACATGGTTTGGAGAGCGGAGAAGATGCTCGCGATTTTACACCGTCAAAGTTGGGAACTAAGGAATAGTACGTAAAAGTTGTAAACGTGAAAAGTAACATTTGTTGTGAAATGCGAATTGGCTGTTTAGTCGTGTAAATTCTTACGAAAACGACTTAGCAGGGTGCTGCTTTTAAAATAATTCTACGGTAACAGCATGCAGTTGTATCTGTATCATTAAAAAAATTTTTAAAGCAGTCTGGTAAACTAAAGCTACAAAGTTAAGTACTGCAAAATTAAACAAAAAACTATAATGCAAGCATACAAACAATCATTTTGTTTCACGAGAAGGTCTACAATAGTTGTGCAACGGTTTTAAGATGAATGGTTGGAAATGATCAGATTTTTAAGTTAACCAAGATTTCGCGGTCGAGAAGGAGTTCTTTGCAAAAGCTTGTGCTTTTAAAAATGTTTACAAACGAGAAGATGCTATTCGGGATGTTTTTTTTTTCTAGTAACTTGATGATCAAAAAGTCTCATCGGGGCGCCGCTTACAAGATGTCACTTTATGCTTTGCAGTTGGGATGATGCCTACACAAGAGAACTGCAGAATTTCAAGGACATAGGGGATGTCGGTGAGATCTGGTAAACGCGTTTTGTCATACTGCTTGGTGTGTTGGTACTTCAATATCAGTATTTACTTGTTTATACAATACTTGAATACTAGCAGCTATATCAACCTGCAACTCACAACTGGCAGCCCATTGAAACTACTGTAGGCAGGTGTGAGCCTGGTCAGTAGGGAGCACTCACCCTGCAGTCTGTGTGAGTCCTAATGCCCCTTTATAGTGATGGGGATGTTATACTGTAAAAAGGCGCCATCCTTTGGATGAGGTCCTGACTCTCTGTTGGGATGAAAAACCCTAGGGCTTTTCTCAAAAAGAGTAGGGGTGTAACCCCGGTGTCCTGCCCAAAATTTCCCCTGGCCTTTACCAGTCATGGCCTCCTAATAATCCCCATCTCTGAACTGGCTTCATCACTCTGTTCTCCTCCTCACTGATAGCTGATGTGAGGTGAGTGTACTGGTGCACTATGGCTGCTGTCGCTTCATCCAGGTGGGGCTGCACATTGGTGGTGGAGGAACATTACCTGTAAAGCACTTTGAGTGGAGTGTCCACAAAAGCGCTATATAAGTGTAAGGAATTATGATGATTATTATATCAATAACGTTGAAATGTGACATCTTGTGTGTGATAGAGGTAATAGTAATAGTAATAATTTGAGAACAGATTTTCACATAATCCATTTAGTGTTTTATATCATCCCCAGGTTTGGAGAGGAAAGTATGGAGCGTATTATCAAATGGCTAAAGAAGGAAAAAATACCACACAATGCTGCTGTTCTTGATATTGGAACAGGAAATGGAGTTTTCCTTGTGGAACTGGTAATTTATTTCCTTTCCATGCTGTGACAATTCTGTGAAGTGGGAGATTCCTGTCTCACTCACCTTGTTTAACAGTTTTTCTCGTCACAATCCTGCAACCTTTAGATTAGGGTTGAGTTTTTACTTCTTTGCTCAATTTATTAAACCCTGCAGCTCTTCCTAGCTGTCAGAGAAGCTAGATGGCTTGAATAGTCTCTCTCCTTGTTTGCAGAGTATCTTCTTATGTATCTTAAATGCTGATTCCACAGTATAGTTTCCTCTGTGTAAACTCCTATTACGTCTCTTAACAAGGGAGACAGTAAAGTATTGTTGTTTCTCTGGTACATTGGGTTTCCTTAAAAAATTGGCTTATTTTTTCGTCTCACTGTCCCATGGATTGTGTTTTTGTCAATTATTTAGAACGATACTGTCTGCACAGACAGCTGTACTGGAGTTAATGCTGATTGCTGGTGGTGATTTGCAAGCAGTCACGACAGTGTTCTGCAGGTTTTAAAAGGTGTGCGTCGTTGCAGTGGAACACTCAGGAATTCTGGGTGCTGTGCATAATCAGAAATAACCTGTTTTACCTGATACCTGTTAAAATACCCTTTTGTTTTTCTTTAAGGCAAAATGTGGATTTAAAAATCTAACTGGAATAGATTATTCAGCTGTTTCGGTAGACCTTGCCAGACACATACTGGAGAAGGAGGGGCTGTCAGATGTCAACGTGCAGGTACATTTTCCTACAATACAGTTCCATATATACAATTTAGAGAGTAAACAGCTTCAGGGACATTCCATACAGCTTTGTGTTTATTTAATCTGTTATTTAACCTCTTTTTATTAAGTGGCAAAAAGAGTGGATTCTTTATTTTTAGTGTCATTTATTGCTATAACCCAAATCATCTGAGCTCAGAGTAACTAAAGATTGATATGATAATTTCCCAATGCAATTATCATCATATTCCAAAAACATGCAGAATTCTGTACAAAAAACATGAATTAGAATGAAGTTTTTTTCAAATTCCATTGAATTTAGAACTGTTTTTAACATTCTTTTGACTGTTTTTGTTGACATCATTATCTGAGTCGTGGTTGATCTTCCTTCAGGTGTCCCTAAAGTTAGTAACAGTTCTGCAGTGAAACATTTTTAAAAGCATACTCTGAATTGTGAAGACTCCATGCTCAATTTTGTAGAAAATTAAAAGATGGCTATACCAAATCTGATCTGCTACCACTTAGCTATTTTATACATTATAGCTTTTTCTACATATGTTATTCTACATCTCAGACATAGGTGGCAGTATTGCTCTGATTGGGTTGAGAGTCCTAAGTAGAACATTTCCTCTTTAACAACATGACAGCCTGTTAACATTGTTGTCTTACAGTGATATAGCACATTTCTCCTATTTTAGACTCTGTGTTGTTTCTCCATGACAGTCAATCCATGTCCTTTTTTTGCAATGCTGGGTCCAAAGGTTTTTCAGATTGTTTCTGACCTTCACAAATGAATAAATGCTTGAAATCTAATCACATTAGGTGCTTTGTGTATCTCAACATTGCAACCTGATAAACACTTCAGCAAAGTGAAGTTCCAGGATTGAAAAATAAAGATGCCATATGTGCCTGCACAAACTAGCACTTGTACAGAATTTTTAAGCTGGTCTGCCTTTGAGGTATAGCACTAACTACAAATACATTCTATTTTATAACCACAATATGGAATACACAGCTCTGAATTATGTATTATTAATATTGGTAAAATATGCACATGAAAATAATTTTAAATCAGACCTTTTTGATATTCCAAATTCTTGAAATGTTAGAGAGGGAAGACCTACAGAAAACACCACTTAATATTGGAGGATAAAAAAGATGGTAGGTTTAGAATTTTTTTTACCAAAGCTTTGTTTTTCTTGACTTCTCCGCCAGCCTACTAATATTTTTGTTAATTTCCTCCGGCCTTCCAACCCAGACTACAGAACAAGCTATTCACCAGCAGCACTGCCACACAGTGGCCAGCGATAGAGTCCGGCTTTCACCACTAAGAGCATGCTGGAGGAGTGTTCCCAGCTTGCAGAGAGCTGGGGTTTGTTTACTCTTACAGGATGTAAAAAAGAAAGAGGAAAATGAAAAGTGCAGGAGGCAAAGTAACTAACATTGCCAAAAAAATACCTTTACTCCCCCCTCATGCAAGAATTAGTTTATTTATTTATTTTCTTTGCTATGTAGATAAGTGTAACCATGCATAAGCCTTTTTGGTTTCACTCTTACATACCACTGTTCTTAATCATTTTGGCTCTGTTCAGGAGGCGGATGCCAGGAGTTATGCATTGCCATGAAGTAAATATTGACTGTGGGCTCACTGAAGTCCTTTCAGGGTCTGCGATGTGGCGTGTTGGCATACACTGTGGAGAGAGCTCGCCTCGGAGCGACTCCTCACAGAGGGGAGAACACAGGGCTCCAGTGTCCTCAGCTGTGTGAGCTTTCAGCCTCCAAAAACGTGTGCAGAATTCATCGGAAATGAAAGTGAGGTGAAGATTTGCACTAAGTGGGATTTCCTAGGAGGACACATGCTAACAATTTCTATGATGTGTTTGAGTCTGAAAAATGACCCTGTCCCTAAATTACAAAGTGAGGGCACAGAAAACTAAAATGTAATCTTATTAACCAGCAGCAATTGAATCTGCCGCTCCAGAGTTTTTGTACATGCACCACGCGGAGCCTCAGTGAAATAATAAAAAAAAACAACTTTTGAACTTCACATTGAGTGTGTGGTTGCTTTGGCTGAGTTGTGTGTATATATAAAAAATCAGACCAAAGTACACCTTGGAGATCTGGGGTTCGGTGTGTTGGCTGGATAAAGCCCCCTTTCATTCACTGTTTATCTTAGCAGCTGCAGTGGTGAGAGAGGAGTGGCAGGTAAAGAGGAGAGCAGACTGTCTGGTCCTGGAGAGCTTAGGGCTGAGGTGTGCCACGAAGGATACAAGGGCTCAGATAGAGTTTAAAGTCTGGTAAATTGTAATTCATCCATCTTTGTTTTTCATGATATTCAAGCTAGCATATTTCATGACTAAATGTGTTTTGTTGGCTCTTTTAATATATCTATATAAAACATTTAGCCTTGCCATATTCAAATGGCCAACGTGTGGCTGTATAAATGTATAAAGTCTGCTGGTGTGTATGGCCGTGGAAAATGCTGTTTTTCATAACATGGGTAAGGAAGTATTGTTGACATTTCCACTATTTCTTTGGGATTCCCAGCTTTAATAATTCAGTGATCTGCATACATAGTATCTGTAAGAATATTGTTAATCTCCATCTTCCTGTGCAATTTCAGGAGCAGGACTTCCTATACCCTTCTGCCACACTGGGCGCATTTGACGTGTGCATCGACAAGGGTACATTTGATGCTATCAGCCTGAATCCGGACAGCACAGCCCAGGGAACGACACGGTATGCGCAGGCCCTGCGTTCAGTCCTGAAACAGGAAGGGCTGTTTCTCATTACCTCCTGCAACTGGACCAGGGAGCAGCTGTTACACGTCTTCAGTGAGGGTGAGTGTTAGTGCCCAGCAGAGCACAGAATCAAAAGAAACTTCTGATGACCAACCTTTCCAGCGTCTTTCACATCCAGCAGAAGGGACAGTAAAAGCAGTCTGACACCTGCTTGTTCTTTCAAGGTTCCTGTATATTTTTTAGGTATGTGCAAGCATAGTCAGTCCCTTTTCCACAAAATATTTTATTCTCACCTATTCAGTATCTCTACCGTTCCTCCCAAAGTGCCATGAGGTCTGTTTTCATTTTTACTGAGGCCTGTATCAAATCATTTATTGGTTTAATTGCTCAAGATGAATTTGATAACATAATATAGTTAGCAGATAAGGCAGGGCCATTCAGCCTATTTAGTTTGTTTCATAGTAATTAATTGATTCAAAGATCTAGTGCCTGTGTATCAGCTTCAACAACATGGCTTGGTATCTAGTTTCTGATTCCAACAAGCCTTATTGGTATTATCAGTATTAAATACATTCCCAAGTAGTTTTCATTTCTGTCACCTGATTGGTTTTTCAGTTCTGACTTTGTCAATGCTTATAAGGAATTTGAATGCTGAAGTTAGGTAATCTCCTAGTCTCATGCGATGAAGACTAGAAGATTTAGTTCTTTTGCCCTGTCAATGCAGGACATTTCTTTCAGCCTGGGAATGTATAATTTAGCCCTTTTCTGGACTAATACATGATCAGTAACATTTTCTTTGTAACAAAGTGACCTTTTTTGTATACAGTATTCTAAATGTGGATTTACTAGTATCTTGTACTATTAATTCACGATATTCCTTTTGTCAAATGTATTGCTTCTTTGCAGTATCCATAAGATGAAAATGTCAACACAAATATCTTTTTCATAAGTAGCTTCTTTAAGCACTTTCCCATTTTATGGATATAATATACGTGTGTGTTTATTACCTGCCAGACATACCCCAAACTTATCTGCACTAAATAACATCTGTGAGCAGTTAGACTTTAATTCTGTCTAAATTACTTTGTCATTTGTACGGTGTTTCCCGATCCTCCTAGATTGTCATCTAAAAATTTCAGTAGTTTATTAATTCAGTCAGAATCTACATTGATATTGATATAAATTGGGTTGAGCAGTGGTCCTAAAACAGACCCTGTTGTACTCCACTAATGACATCGCTCCAGTTTGAGCATTCTCCCTTATTTTCTGTATACTTCTACTTCCTTACTAATATGTGGCAAAAATGGAGAAAAAATTGTTTTAAGTTGTGGGCAAAGTAAGATGTATTGCAGGAAAGTACATTTTGTAACTTACCACATTTGGTTGTGACCATCCATCTCCTTTCTGACTGTCTGCATCCAACTGAGGGTCAGGGGGAGCCACAGCCTGTCCCTGCAAGCAAGGGGTGCAAGGCAAGGTACACCCTGGATGGGACGCCAGCTCGTCACAGGGCACACAGACACACACAGACTCACTCCAGGGCCAGGTTCCCACACGCCAGTTGACCTACCTGTATGTCTTTGGAATATGGGAGGAGACCGGAGCACCCAGAGAAAAACCCACTTGAACACGTGCAGAACTTACGAGCTCCATGCAGATGGCACCCCAGGCCCACAATTGAACCCAAGGCCTCAGTGCTGTGGGGCAGCAATGCTAACTACTGCAACACCCATCTGATTCCTGGTTGTAAAATTCTGTAAACATAAAATTAGAATGTCATGAATAAGTTTAAATGTTAAACACTGTAGTGTTATTCTGTATAATGTATAGAAGTACTTTATCATAACTATACATTCGTACAAAAGAAAATTCTTTGGCATGCTTTACCAGAAGAGCAACCGTTTTCACACAAAAAAATCAGTTCAAGCTCAATTATGTGGTTTCCCTTATTGTGTTTCTGCACTTGAGAATAGCTTGACAGGTTCAGAATGAGTCACATTTCTTTCTGCGAATTTAACACCCATCACTTGGTGTTTTACTTTTGAGATCAGATCATTCTCTTCCCCTCTCTGGTATTTCACGTCACTTGGTCTTGCTTTATACATGTGATCTAACTGCAGGAAAGAGGAAATGGGATGGGACTTTGTTTAATTTAACTTAAGTTTTGTTAGTGATTTTATTATGGAGAAGATTGATCTGAAGTTATGAGATGGTACAACGAATCTGAGTGATGCAACGCATAATCCTTTAACATATCTCTAGGTAGGGAGATACAGACATACTTTCTGCTATAGGGGAGGGAAGTTAGGAAAAAAAAACTAAGCTGCGCTTTAAATCCCACTTGCTGACTGTACTGTGAAATCACGAGATTCTGAAAGAAGCCCTTACATTCTGTGACATGCAGCGACACCAATTGCTGCAGTTTTACGTTTTGCAGTCCACTTCTGGTACATGACTGGAAATTGAAGCAGCGGCCTGATCTTGTAGGATCCAGAGTTTCAGTGATGTCCTGAATTATGTAAGGCCCAAACGCATAACATGCTCTGTGTATCCATTTCTGCTGTTGTTTGAAGAAGTCTAACAAGTTCCTGAAGCAAAAAAAAAAAAATATGCTGATGTCCACTGAGTCATCGAGATGGGCTGTTATTATCATTTTAATAACCTGACAGATTAGTAAGATTTGTTGGTCTGGGTTCACTTCAGTTTTCCTTTTTATGGATGGTGTGACATTAGCAATTCTCGAGTCAGTGGGTATTACCCCTTTCAGTGCCTGCTGCAAAAGCAATCATAACGTCTTTTGTTTCTTTAAGAACGATTGGAAGAATACCATCTTACCCCTGAGATTTCAGTTTCTCATTAGTGCTTTTGGAGCTGGCAACATTCTTCAGTGCTAATATTATGTAGTATAGAACATTGCTGTTCCTCAAGCTGAGGGAAGTGTTATATTTAATGCATCAGCTTTGTCCCTTTCCTCATCTGAATGTTTCTGCATTATTATCCCTGGGACATTATCTGTCATTCTTTACTGTTGTTTTCTTGTTGCAATGTTGAAAATAACATTTATTTTAGTCTCCATTACAATGCTCTCTTCTGCCTTCCTCTCTTGACCTAATATTCTTTTTTTCCTGTGCTTTAATTTATTATGCAGGTAGACCCTCTCTTGTCTATGACCCTCTGCAAGGTCTTTATTGTAAGGAAGGGGTCTTGTTATGTTTATTTCTCCCGTACCAATAAACAGAACAGAGGTACACCTCCAACTCTGCTTAATAATCATATACGGCCCTTAAATCTGCAATGCTGAACTGTCATGCTCATGCTGCAGATTAAGTTCTATGTGAAATATTTTTGCATCGCATGTCAAATGGTAAAACTTTAACCTTTAAGTGGATTTTGAATGCTGTAATAGATCTAAATATCTGCTTTCCTCCTCTTTCTATGTGTTACAAACACTCATACCTTTTCTTGCTTTCACTTTTGGCAAAAAAGCTTCGTTAAATTGTAAAGTGATTATAACCCTACATTATAATACTTGTTCCTGAATCCCCTTTTCCATTTTCTACCAGTATTTTATGGTATCCATATTAGCACATGCTTACACATATCATGCAGCAGTTCTGCCAAGCCTTTTACTTACTGCTGGTTAGAAGACTTATTTGATTTTAGATTTTGTTTTTTGATTTAGAGCTAAACAAAAGCACAGTACACCGAGAACCAGGATTGACATTTGTAAACAAATGTTGCCATACTGCAGTAAACCTGGATCTGCCCATTATAAACGGATGTCTATCTAACTAAAATCATACTAGATTGTGGATGTTGCTGTACCAAACTGACTCTGAAAGGCTCATCCCACATTCATTTTCTTTAGATGGATCCTGTTCTGAAATTGCTTTACGTAGTGCTTTCTTTCCCCTTTATTTTCCTCAATTATTAACCCATTGGGATATAGTTTTCTAGCCTTTGATTTATTTACTATAAATTTTTGTCACTGATTGAAGATACATGAACAACTATAAGCATTTGTTTTGTCCAGACTTGGAGTTAGAGACAGGTTTTCTAGTGAGTGGCAAACCTTAGAAAACCAAATGCTTCTTGTTTTGTTGTGCCATATTTCTCACTTTGAGCAATGGTGTTTCAGAAATGGACAATACGGAGCACTGAGGTTCCCAGAATCTTACATCTCTCAGTAATATACTTCATGATTTACTGAAAGATACAGTAATTTCTCTGTTATTTCTGTCTCTAATGAGTAATGTGCAACAGTTCTATTTAAAAAAAACAAGGGACTGTTCTTCTCAAAGCCAGGAGCTGATCAGCACTGAGCAAGCTGTATCAGATTGCTAAAACATGGGCTGTTTTACTTTTCTCAAGAAATAAAGAAAGCTTTCCTTTATTGTTACTGCAGCTGTTATTCTGAACCATGAAATGGGAACTTTAAAGATCCGCTGATGCGGAGTGTTCCCTATGTGTGGTAAAACTGCCATTTGCCTTCTGACAGAGTTTGTCTCTGTCCTCCAGGGTTTGAACTGCTGCAAGAGCTGCCCACACCACAGTTCCAGTTCGGTGGCAGATCTGGGAGCAGTGTGACAGCACTGGTCCTCAAGCGCAAGGACTGAGCAGCTGGTGGACATCACAAGGCATCATGGGACTTGTGGTTTTACTATCCAGTGGATTTTTTTTTTTTATTGCTGTGGATTTCTGCTGTTGTATAACTAAAAACCCATACACTTAATTAAATTATGAATTCATCATAGAAGACTGACAAAATATACCACTGTACATCTTCTTTCTTCACAGTCCTTTACTTAGTTTTTAGGAAGTTATTTTTTACGGAGTACTTTTGTTATTGTTTTTTCTAAGCAGAGTTTCTACTGTAACTGGATGTTTTTGTTTAATGTTTAGGATCTTGTTGTGAATAATCATCAACTTTATTGTTAAGCAGTGACAATGGCTTTAGCTCAATTTTTTGTGACACTTTTTGTTTAATCATTATTTTTAGGACTTTTTTGTAATTTCCATGATATCATTAAAACAAAAATAACAAAAGGGACCTTAACAACAAGCATGGGTTTACATCAGTACGGGATTATTTCTTCAGAAAAAGGTTTGTGTCAGAGTTAATCAAAGCTATGACAAATTCTTTGTTCTTTTTTTTTAATAGAATAACAATTTAGAGGATTTTAATACAGAGCATGAACATAACCAAAACTCCACCATGTCCCCATGTGACCCCACAGGGGGCAAAATAGATCCAGTTCAGTTCTCTTAAGTAGATGGGAAGAAGCCTGGGCAAATATAATTTAACATATTCTGCAGCAGCCGTCCGGATATCAGTGACATCTGTCCCATTCCCAGCCACAGATCCTTGATGTGGAATATGTTCAGCTGCAAGACGTGTTGACTAATCTACCTTAAAGATTAGTGAACCTTCTCTTTTACAACACTACTCGTCTTCTCTAGTGCATCCATGCATATGAACTGTGGAGCACTTGTGAACAAATCTAGCAATAGATGTTTGGGGTCTAGATAGGTAGGTTTCATGCATGCCCCATACTTCTTTAGCACAAAAACGTGCACTGAAACGAGCATTTTTAATATAAACTCTCCTGTGAGGAATGGACAAATACGCTGTGGACAGAGGTCCCCCAGGAAACCGACTACACATTTACTAATGTGACTGATATTACCAGTGTCATGTTAGGATAATCATTACAGAGCTAGGCTTGAGGTGAGTGTCACTCCTCTCCGGCATTCTTATCACCCATCTGTTTTCAGTAAGCTGCTAATCTTGGTGAGGGTCACTGTGATCTGGATCCTTTCCCAGAAGCACAAGGCACAAGGCAGGACTGAGAGCACATGACTGCTTTCTCCCTACACGGGACGCCAGTTCTCACAGGGCCAGGGAGAAAGAGGAAATTTAGAGTAGCCAGTCAAACCAAGTCAGCATCTCTTTGGTAGTAGGGAGGAAATCTGAGCACCCAGGGAAAATGTGAGTAATATACAAACAAAGAGACACACCACAGTCTGTGATCAAACCCGGGACTCTGGAAATAGAGTGTTAACTGCCGCTCTGTTTGGTGCAGGTATGGGCTACACAGAGACAGTTCTTCATACCAGTGCCAGCTGATCTAGCAAATTTGCACCTAGTTTACCAACATTTTTCTGAGTTGTTTTGGCTTTGGTCTTTCAATTCTGAAAATAAAAAAAAACTGATAACACCTTATGCAGCACAGGAAGATATATTTTAGTATCATGGGATTAAGAGGCTGAGCAAAACGAAGGTGTCCTTTTGATGCCTTTCCCATATGAAAGGATACCAGCATGACGTATATCTCCAAGGGATCAACAGCTAGGCCAGAGGACATATTCCATTTGCCGACTTGACTAAGGCGCTGTCAGCTTTGTACTAAGAGCAAGGTCAGTAGTGTATTTTAAATGAACCATCTTGTTACATTTAGGAACTGGTATGGATCTGTCAATTTACATGTCCTATTTGCATTAAAGGGCTTTGTTACTGGACAATAAATGGGCAAAACTTCTTTATCTTGCGATTTTTATGAAAAATACAGTGGTGCGTGCTATGCCATCTAATGCAGAATGTTAATGAAAATCAAAAGTAATGTGCCATTTATGTGCTGTTCCTTTGCATGTGGCTATTTCCTAGAAGCAGACAAAGGCTAAATGACAGTGTACAGGAAGCAGAACACCTAGAGGGATACTTTCACCTCTTTTCATCAAGAATTATACAAATACTGTGTAATTCACACAGAGTATATTTATTCATTTTTGCATGCACATAAATATTAGGACCTGGTGTTCTCAGCCCTTTATAGAAAATGCAATTAGTTTTGAATGGAAAAATATTGAATTGAAAAACTGCTTACTACAGTATGTGCAGTGTATGATCTTATATTCCTCACACGGCCCATTATTGAAACCTTCCCTTTTTATCTTGTGTTTCAGAACAGTGTCCAGGCCTCTACGGAACACCACAGAGTGGAGCTTCTTTTCTTTCATGATCATTTATGTTGCAGATTTCTCCCTGTGTAGTTGTACGGACCCCAGCCCATTATTCACTGCTGCTGCTTTGACGAATCATGATTCTTTTGTTGTGTGTTTTATTTATTCCGGTGAAAAACTGTTAATCAAAACGGAAACTAATGACCGTATTCAAAGTTGTTATTTGGTTTTTAAAACAGAACAAATAGCAATAAATGAAATAAAAAATTCACAACAATCAGAATAGGAAAATCTGCGTCACAGATACGGTTACAGTGAATGGAGCAGGAATGTGTACAACGTACAAACAGTGCAGTTGTCTAACTTTACAGACTATGTGATATTTGTGATCTATGCAACCTCTCAAATGCAGAAATTGTTTTTTCACAAAGGCCTGGTGGCAAAAGTGCTACTTCACAGAGTGAGGACTTCACAATGTCTGAGAGTGATTCAGCATTTAGTTAGTTTTTAGCATTTAATAGTTTTGTTCAGTTCCAGAAAAACATTTTTCTGAACATGAACAAGTTTAGAAGTCCATTAAGAAATCTGCTCCAGGAATATAAATGAAGATTTAGGACTTACAGCAGGTTTGATTATACAGTGTATTCTTGGAATTCAAAGATTAAAAATATTCAAAAATATTTTTCAGTCCCTAAATAAATTAATTTAAATCTGGCATTACTCTGTGCTAAAGGGAATGGTATGATATTTTGGGGTTTCTATAACTGCCATGAAAATGTTAACTTTAACCAAAAACGTTATCTCAGCTGATGGCCCAATGTAATTAGGTCTTGCAAAGAGTAGCTAATGTAATTATGCATAAAAACATGCAGTAGATCTAGATACTGGCCAAATAAATGAAGGGGACAGAGGATGATAAACTTGAATTTTACAAGTAACTAAACCATGAAATGTGATTATAAGGAAAATATACATTTTAAGCTTATTTAAGTTTTACTGAGGCAAAGATAAAGTTATGTATTTTAAACTTGCTACACATTGACAATAGATTTTAAGGAATATACATTTTCAGTTTCTTCTCTTTCAGATTACATATTTGTTTACAGTCTGCAAAATGTGGTAATTCACTTTACAAATATACCTCTATTAAGATGTTTTTTTTTTCTGTGAATAATGCCCCACTTTTTAAACTGAGACAGAGGCTTAAAAGGATGAAATCCTTTACAGACACAGCTACTTGAACGTTTTACTGGCTTATGTAACAGACAGGGTTGCTAATTGGCACAAACCCATGAGGAGAACACAGTCAGAACCCTTCTATCAGGTAATATCTGAAGTGTTGCTAAGAAACTACACAAAAATGTGGAGGAATAAGAAGGGAATCCTGTCAGATATTTAATAAGTCTGGTCAAATCACATTTTTCAGATAATAACACTCCTCAAATACTTTAAGCATCCTTTGATCTTAATCTTCTCACAATGGAAAGGATAATTGTAGCTTTTCAATATCACTACATTGTAAGGTTGACATATATGGTTTACTGCAATAACAGAATTTTTAGCAGATCACTTTGCCTGTGTAGATGTCCAGAATGTAAATAGAATAATAAATACATAGATGTTTGGCTTGTGACTATATAGTGGACAATGTAATGTTTAAAATTAATAGTCTCTGAGTGTTGAGTTGGGGTGATTCAAACACGATTTGACACTACACGTATTATGCCTTCAAGCTTATTTTTCTTTTAAACCTTTCCACAGAAGATGACTTTATGTGCTCTAGTACTGCACATAAAGCTATTATTAAGTTGTACTGTTCACTTGGTTTCAAACTACAATAATGAGGAGATTTCTTTCTGTGTAGCAAGAGACTTGATATTAGAGGGTCAAGTGGCACAAAATGGCAAAGGCAGGGAAAACAGTATCCATCACTCTCTCAGTACAGAATAGACACAATTAACAACAAACAGCTGACGTTTGGTGTAAATGTTTTCAGCTTTGATTTTTAAAGTCATTTTGAAAATACATCTATGTTGATGTGACTGTGTAATGTATCCAAACAGGATATATTTCTGGGGTAAATTTCCATAATCTGTTTACCATCTATCAAGGGAAAGGGACATTTTCTGTGTGTGTAGATCTGTAAAACTGCACTTTGTTCATTTTGTAGCGGTAATTGAAAGTTACACTAATTGAGACTGTGCTCTGTTCCCAGTTTTAATACTAGATACTTTGTTTAAAAATCATGCATAATTCAACAAATATTTATGTTTTTACATTCCCTGTCCAGCGAAACACTTTAAAGCATGTTAATAAAGATTTCCAAAAAAAATGTTTAAATCAAGAGTGTGGATTTAGAGGCTATGCCTCCTTGTGGAAACGAGAAGGATTTTACTTTCTGGTCTCCTATTAAAAGCCATCAAGCATTACATTGCAAAAAAAACATCACCAGCAGGGAAATATGTCAGAATTTAATTCTGTCTACCTGTCTACATTAGACTTCCATCCAGATTGGTGGTTATAGTTCCCAGAAAAGAAAAGGTGGGCTGAAATAAGGGAAATGCAAATACGGTAAGTATTTTTCTAGTTTACATTGCAGATCTATCTTTTGACAGGTTTACTGGATCTCCTACTTAATACTGCAGGGTGAACCATTAGGTCGTTTTTCTATCATGCTTGGCAGATTTAATGCAGTAAAGAAACTCCTCAATAGTTTCACTTCTTCTGCTGCCAGCTGACCTGAATCGAATGTTTAAATCGCTATGAAAGATGCTCTCTAAAGAAGTGCCCAGCCCAACTATTAGAGAAAAATACCATCACCGATAAGGAGTTTGTATTAATAAAGTGTTTTTTGAAGTACTATTCGACACACAGATCCAGATAGCGCTTGAAATACAGCCGTGTGTAACAAGAGATCTACTAAAGGCGGACCACAACATATATACTGTACGAATATTTCATAATCTCTATAGATTACACAGAGGAAACGAAGTTTTTTAAATACCCATTCGGTCCACATGTACATGTTAATAGTTTGATCATTTTTAAAGAACTCTACAGTGGCATGCGTTGTCTTGTATGTATTTTAATGACCAGAAAGATGCGCGGTCCTCCTGGCCTTCGTAAATACCAGTAAAACGCTCTAGTAAATCGGTCTGATTTTACCAAAAGCTGTGTCGAAGTTGCAATTCCAGCACTTGAGCAGGCTACTTTATTTTTTTTACAATTACTCTAGAGTAGACAGTGCCAAGTTAAAGAGGGTATAATGAGTTATACAATATCGTCAGTAAATCAGAACATTGATCCTGGATATTAGAATTCGACACTGATCTAAATAAAAATCCAGGTCATCGTCAGAGAAAAGTCCGGTCAAGGAGATCGTGTTTCTCCAATTAATTAACATAAGAATTTTAACCGCGCCCCCCCCCCCCCTTCAACGCAGAAATGGTTCGGCTGTGTGCGGATATTGTTACAATGTGTAAAGTGAAGAATCTGCTGTGGACTTTATTACACTCACAGGCGAGCCTGTGAGGGAAGGTGTCCGCATGAAAGCTGCCAGTTTCTCCGCTGGCCTTTGTCGACGTGATCGAAGATGACCTAAGTTTCCCTGACTGGCAAGGCGAGAAGGGAACTGACCATTGATCCTGAACATTCCTTCTCTCTGATCGGGAGAATTGACAACATGCTCATCCCTGTGGGTATTCATCTTTATTGAAAAACAACAATAGCAATAAAAACAATGCATTTATAGAATTCTGGTCTTTAACGGAACAGTTCTTGTTACGATAACTACTGGAAGTTGCTTTGCCGAACACACCGTGCTTTCCTGCGTTCTGCTTACGCTCCGTTGTCAGCACTCTGGCTGGGCAGCCAGTACCTGCCCGTATTGATTAGCTAAAGCGATCAGGCGCAGCGTTTCTGCAGGGCGCTGGTAACTAAAGAGCACATCGCGAGGTTTAAACTTTTGTGGACTTCAGATGTTATGGCTGTGTTGGGGGATTCTGCATTGTGTCGGAGTTTGTGTGTATATTCATAAGTACGTCACAGAATTGCATTGCATTGCATCGGGTATAGTCGCACGTTGTTTTCCCACTAGTCATATACAGTCGTCTTACACCAGAACCGTGTAGTCGACATGTTCTATGCATGCGAGGTATATGTATAGTAATATATTTACGAGATATGAAATTTAGTTTCAGGCACAGTTCTATTTATGCCCTGATCTTTTTAGAGAAGCTGTTTTCCTTTCGAGTTCTTCGTTTTCTTTCTTTTCCTTCGTTTTCTTTTCCGAGGAAGGTAGCTTTATTATAGGTTCAACGCATTTTTTGATTAACAATGCGTGCAAAACAGAACATGGCTGAGCTATTCAAGAGTGGTGGTTACGATCCCTTTCGAGAAGTAGTACAGCCACCGCTGTGAAAGAGAGGCTACCAGGGAGAAGGAGTGAGAGATCATTGATTAGCTTTGTTACTGCCCGGAGCACCGCTGGAGGGACAAAAGCTTTCCTGTACTGCTGCGCTGTGCTCTGTCCCGGCTAGCTGTGCAAACAAGGCAGTCGTGACTGAAACACTTATTCAGCTTCAGCTTTGGTGTGAGACCGAGTGTTTTCTACGTGCACTCTGCGACTCAGGTGGTCTAGTACGCTGGGGTAAAGGGGTTGGGTAGTGACTACAGAATTTTGTCTCCTATTTATTAGCTGTGGTGGCTGACAGTTAATAGATAGTAGAAAAGAACAGCTTATTGCCTTCGCATGTTTTGTTATTTTACTTATGCATGTATTTGGAGGAAAGGAATGTAGTATCATTTCTCAGTTTCCTAGAAGCATATTCCTCCTTACCATAGTAGGTTGCGAGCCCTGCTGTAATTAGGAATGTAATTTTCTGGTTTATTCCAGATACGCAGGAGAAGTCACAGATAAAGATCTGATAACACTGGCCAATGAGAGGGTTCCTGTTGACTGCTAATCTACAGATGACATTAATACTTGCTGGCTTTAAAACTTTGAGAAGAAAAGGACTTATCTCGTTACTGCATTCTGTATGTATTTGTCTCTGACAAAGTATGATAAATACAAAGTTAAGTGGAGTGAATGTTATGCAGGAAGGAAAAGGAGCCAGGAACCCCACGGTCTGTGTATACGTCAATATTGGAAACATTTCTGAAATTGTGATAGCTGTATTGTAAGGTATTAAATGATGTTAGATTTATTTTTTTACTCGACCTGCAGTAACCAGGTTTGTTATGCTATTGGGGTTTTAGGCTTTAAGAATTTAAAGGGACAGTACAACAAAAGTAGTTCATCACACTTCTCTCCTGATACTGATTAGTATCAGTTACTAATGGTAACTGATACCATTAGTAAAAAGGAACTAATGGTATCAGTTCACTTTTAGTGCAATTTATCGATGAGTATTATAAAAGGCCCTTGTACAGATGTATTTATTAGTTGATTTCAACTCGGAAATCATATTGAGACTGGACTTTTGATTTTACTTGAAGATCTAAAACTTGTATTAAATACAGACCCCTTCCCCACATTGCTAATTAATTACTAATTTGTAATTAGTTAAAAGCTGATACCAAGGTAACTTACATTTACACCCATTTATACAGGTGGACACTTTTAGTGGAACAATTCTGGTGAATTACCTTGCTTAAGGGTACAACTGCAGTGTCTCACCTAGGATTTGAACTACAGCCTTCCATTTACAAGGTTATAGATTAAATATAATTTAGTTATAAATAATAATCTTTACTGCCTTGGACCAAATACCCACAGTACCACAGGCTAAAAGCTCAAAGTCTATTAAAGAGATCATTCAGGATTAAAAAAAAATAAAATCTGGTTGAAAGTAAAACCAGAAGTGGAGCAATCGGGACCTGGAGGTATGATTTACCAGTCTAGAATACCAATGGCACCAGAATAACTTCAAACCACATATTGACTCTGGGCAGTAAACAGTAAGCCAAGCACAAAGGTAATTTTTTCAAGCTGTCAGCTTCTAACGACTTCTTAGTTGACTGTAAGGAAAACTGCAAGGATGGGAATTACATTAGTGCTGCATATCTTGTGAAGGGCAATAGTGAAGCTTTGTGTGTTTTATTTTTTTCAACACTAATCTGAGTGTTCATTTGCTTTTGGATGGTGTTATAAGAAAACGTCTCTAATTTGTTAAGCTTATCTAGAAAATATATAATCAGAAGCAACAAGAGAGAATAGTGTAGCAGCCCTTTAAGTGCAACAAAACAGGTCTTGAAAACATCGGACACATTTAGGTAGCTCACTGTTGCACTGAAACAATACAAACTCCTATTGCCTTCAGGTGACTCCAGATGTGAATTTGTAATGGGCAAATTTGATGGTGCTGTTTTCATAAAACAGTTTAAAGATTTTATTTTTGAAGTTGTGTGTTTTGTATAGTTCTCATAGCCTGGCTAAAGATCACACATTTACATACAATCACACTTGAGGAGTTTTCTTTCTGCCTCCTTTAACATTCCTGCCCTCCCCAGTTCCTGGGAACACCTACAGTAAATGCATTATGGATTTCATTTTAATCATATGGAGAGTGAAGCACCAGCTAAAAGTTATTTGCTTTTCCTTCTGGAAGTCATTGACGTATGGAGATGTTAAACAGACGTTCGGGAGCAGGTCAAATTCTAATCTGGCACTTCCGTTCTCTTACACATGAAGACTTGCCTGCTGCACATCTTTTTTCTAACTCCACTCCCTCCACCCCAGCTTCACCCTTGTAGCAGCCTCCCTGGTTTATTCCTCATTAGGGAGGGGGGTTTAGCACTCTTCACCTTTCAGCCAGGCTTTCCCCAGACAGGAGAGTTAACGCAAAACACTAAACTATTACAGTAAGTATGCTTTTCCTTTATGTACATTGTTCCTTCACCTCGTAATGGGACCAAACAAGTGAATATTGCTTTGAGGAAAATATACTGTACAATACATTAAAACATAGGTCGGCTTCTGGTTAAAAATGGGAACGTAGAATTCTTAAACTGTGGTAGTGGTCAACCTAGTCTAATTTCGTAGAAACTAAAGATCTGGAGGACCTTGGCTGTAAAGAGTTATATGATCTGTGTATTGCTCTAATCCTGCAAACTAAAATCAATATCACAAGCAATATTCTTCCAGTTTCTAATCCTGCTACGCAGTCTCTAAGGGTTCTATTAATTGTTAAGTGTTACATAATGTATCACACACTATTTTCTGCAATTTGATTTTAAATAAATATTTTAATGGCATAGCTTCTGGTGTGTATAAAGCACAAAAAAACATTGAACAGACCCTTGCTTTTTATTAGCCATGGAGAACTGAATGCTATTATATTTTAAAATACCATGTCTTCCTTCTGTAATGTGGCAAATAAAGTTTTATGTGCACAGTCTGAGGGCTTAACGATGTCATACTACTAATGACTTGCAACTGATAAAATCTGCTGAGTAGATAGTGCTTGTTTTAAACAATGCGCAGTCTAATTTAAAAAAATAACAGGTTACTAAGAATGCTTCAATAAACACTCCTGGATGTATAAGTGTAGTAGAACTTATAGAATGATCCAGCAAGGGTTAATGGAGTAGATTAATTTATTTTTTATTTCCATAATCGGAGTATGAATGTCATGTGGAGCTGTCGAAAAATTTGTATCTTACATTCAGGTATGCTGAGAGATGGTTTTACAAGGTGTGACATTATATAAGTATGATAAATATATACTATGATATCATAAAGTATGATATAATAAAACGTATTATATAAGTATGCCACCTCCCAACACAGAAAAAACTTTTTTGACCACTGATGCAGTCCAGGTGAATGCTACAGTGTTTGCAATGAGTATGCTGTCTTTTGAGCATAAATAATGCAATAAAGTTTTCTTTTCTATGTCAACAGAATTCTGTGAATGAATTGAGTTGTAATTTTAAAATTACAGCTGGAAAAATATTTGTATACAGAACCTCTGTAATATCCATGTCAAAGCAGTTAGAAAAACCTCAGAAAACACAAAGAGGCCAAGCATGCATCTGTTTCTGTTCATGCTTCTGAGACTTACCGTTTTCGATTTATGACTACGGCTGTATACTTGTACAAGAGTGAAATCTATCTGTTGTGTTTCATCTTTAGTCCTGAGAAGTATTTTCTGTGCCCTATATTTACTGTTTTGAAAGCCACTGCTACAGATCTGCAGTAGCAGTACTCATCCTAACAGTAATCTGCTTCTTTGCAGCTGATACCCCAGGTGTGAGTTTTTTTCCTTAGAGCTCCTCGTCCATTGTATTCTGGCTCAATACTGAGTAAGGCTCTCTGAAAGAAATTTTCTCTTCCCTCTGTAAATGTGCATTTAATTTTAATAACAGGACTTGTTCAGCTGCACAGTACTTAGGGGTTGGTTTAAATATCTCCTTAAATATTTTGTTATTCATCATTCAGATGCAATGAAAAGATGGCACATTTTCTCTGCATGATTTTGATTTCAATGGTTCCTACAGCAGGTAGGAAACAGCATTCTGCCCTTCCATGGATCGTGTGACCTGAAGGAGAGGCAAGTTGGTCAAGGATCTGTTTGATTCCCTCAGTGAAATTCCCAACGGTTGCCAGTACCACGCTGGGGTGCAGTGCTCTGTTGGTTTAGTGTGAGAACAACAGGATATGATCCACGTTTGCCATCCTTGGCTGATTCA